CTTCTATAATATAAGTTTATTATATTTAATATGATCTTCGAGTATTTCTAAGAAGATTAAAATATTATCTAGATATACGATAACGAAGATATCTAAATATTCCTTAATCGCTTTAAAGATAAAGCGTTAGAATATTACTAGTACGTTAGTAAGGCCGAAAGGTATAACCTTATATTCGTAGTATCTGAATTTAGTCCTAAATACCGTTTTCTATTTATAGCCTAGCTTAATCCTAATACGATAGTAGGTATTAGTAATATTATACTTCGAAAAGTACTTAGTATATCTAATCCTATCCTATATCTTATTAATTAATAGTAGTAGGTATCGATCTTTAATAGTAATCGAATTTAGATATCGGTAATCTATATAAAGTCGAAGACTCCCGTCCTTCTTTAGTACGAAGATAATAAGATATCTAGCCGCTAACTTCGAGACTTAGATATATCCTTTTCGTAGATTCTCTTTAATATATTCCTTAAGTATATCGGACTCCTTTTATAATAACTAATAGATAGGTATAAAAGTTAGTTTAGTACCTTCTATAGTATTAATCTCGTGATTAAAGGATCTATATTTTAGTAATACTCTATCGGCCGGTACTATAAAAATATCCGTAAACTCCTAGTATTCCTCCGGAATCCTAGATTCGTTACTAGTTATATATAGCTTCTCGTATTTAATTATTATATAGTCCTTTAACTCCTAATCGGATATATCTAGTAATTGTTCTATAGTATCTAGGGCGACGCCTATAACTAATACTCTAGTCCTCTTACTTCGGGACTATTTACTACGCTTATTTCGTTAGGTAGACTTTTATTAACGTATTTCGTATTCGTCGTATATTTCTATATATATATATCTATTAAATAAGATATATCCCGACTACTAATTAATACTTAGGTTATACTTCTTAAGCTATAGAATACCTAAAATAATATCGTAGTCTCCCGTTTCTAAGATATTAAACCGTATTAATTCTAGGTATCTATAGATAGATATAGGTAATATAATAGTTTCCTCGCTAACTCCTCTTAAGAGTACTTCTCTATCGAGTCCTACGACTAGTATTATATATAGTAGGGGTTCGGTCGTAACTTATCGATCTTCCTTAAACCTTAGATTTATAAAATTATTAGTGGCTCCTAAATCGATAAAAGTCTATACCTTCCCTATAGGTAGGATCGTATATAACTTAATATATATTCCTAACGTTATTACCGCTAGATATATTATTAGTCGATCCTCGTGATCGTATATCTAGCGCCTATTATACTAAATTCCTTAGTACTCCTTTGTCTATTATAGCTTCTTTATCTACTATAGTAGTTTCGGTTTAATACTATAATCTAACTTTACTAATCTATAAATAGTATACGTTTCGTCGTAGTATATAATACTAGCTATCTTACTATATCCTAGGTATCGTATATATCCTTTATACGTATAAGTAGAATTTTCGTAAGGGTATCCTACTAGGTCGTCGCCCTTCTTAATTACGTTAATAAGGTACTAGTCTAGTCTACTAGGCTATATCTTTCCTTCGAGATATCCTATAAGCTCTTTAGCTTCTTTATTATCGTAATAGTTTATAGGGCTTTCTATTAGTATTTCTAGGATAATTTAATCTATTTTAGGAAGCGTATCTAGCGTTCCTAGATTACTATTAGCTCCGGAGATCGGGTTCTATATCTCTATAGGTCCTATATCGTTCGTCTTAAGACGATTAGGGTTCTAGGACTTCTCTATTCCCGTAACCGTAGTCTCTAGACCTAGTAGGTCTTACGACCGCCGACCGAGGTCCTCTCTAGCCTTAAGTCCTACTAGGTCCTAGATTAGTACCTAGGGTACGTACTATATCTACCCTTAACTTTCTACTATATCCTAATCGATTTCTAGATAATCGAGTTCTAGCTCGTCGGCTAACCCTTTACTATATAGGTTGCCCGCTATTATCTCTTCTAGGTTAAGGCCTTAGTACCTACCTATAAGATCTTTTAAGAGCTCGTCTCTTAGGTCTATAGCGACTCGCCTACTACTTTTAAGGCTATCGATAAGGGTCCCGACCTACCCTCTTAGGTTACCCTATTACTTATTAGGGTATATTTCCTCCTAGTATTCCTAACTAGCGCTCGTTCCTTCGGCGCTAGTGCCTATACTAGTAGTAGCTTTTCCCTCTTAGGTCGCTTATAGTACTTCGCGTATCGCCTATATATATTACCGTTTCTTATACGGTTTCTTCTATTTATATTCCTTTACGCGGTATCCTAGTTTCCTATAGGTAAAGTAAAGATTCTTATTATAACGCTCCTTTTACTTATCGTAAGTAGCGTCTAACTCTATTAGCTTCGGGCTATATAGATCGTTATCCTATAGTATCGCTCTATCGCGGCGTCTACCGAATCGGTTAAAGCTATATATCTTTCTACGCTTCTATAATTCTATTTCGTATCGTTCCCTTCTTCGCTCGCTATTATAGTTATCGATCTTAACTATAATCTTAATAAGTTAATTAAGCTCTTCTAGCTAATCTATCCGCGCTAGTTTATCCTTAATATCGGATTTTATTCCGGCTTCGAAGTAAGGAAGGTATACCCTATCTAGCTAATCTAAGTAAGAGATAATTTATAAGAATTTAGAGGTATAGCTTAATATAGTTCCGGTTTATCGGATTTATTATAACTTTTTCTAGGCTATTCTCGTAGCGTCGATATCTCCGAATATATTTTCGAGGTATCGATAGAAGTTACGATACTCACTAAAGATATTTATTATAGTATCCGACTATTCTTTAGGTTTCTTTCTATAATAGTCACGGATATAAAGTTCGAACTAATCCTATACTTAACCGCGTAAGTAGGTTAATATAAAAATCACCTTACCGGCTTCGTTAGGTATCTTAGTACTATTTATATCGAGGTATATATCTATCTAAGTAAGGAATCCTCGAAGTTTAATTTAGTTTCCTTTAAAGAACTTAGCCTTAGGTAATTGTAGTACCTAGATAGTACTAATAGGTACGGATACGTTAACTTAAGCCTTAATCTACTTAAGGTAGTCGTCGACCTCGCTAAACTTAGTACCGCTTTACTTACCTAAGTTACTAAGCTAATCTATAACCTTTTTAAGGTTATACTTAAGTTCGCTAATCTTTCGCTTCTATTCCGTAATAATATTATCTCTTTTAACGTTAGAGTCGGGATCCTCTACGGGTAGAGTGACTTATTCCCGAACGGGTTTCTTCCCGGTACTAACGTAAGATATATTACTTATTATAACTCGAAACTTAATTCGAGACAGTCTTTAATATATTACGTACTAGCTAACTAGTCATAGTTAGGTTAGATGGGTTTAGGGTATACTTGCCTTAATACTCCTCGAATGGTCTAACGTTAATAATCGGGTCTTAACTAAGCTAATACCGCGTAGGGCCTTATAGTAGCCTAAGTCCTTTTAAACGATTAAGGAACTAATACTAGGTAGAGCGCCGAGTAGATCTATACCGGAGTATTGGTCTGCTCGTGAGTATTGTCAAGTTATAATCAAGTAAAGAGTCACAGTAATCCAAAAGGTAAACACAAGTAACAATATATGATTAAAGACGAAGAACTAAACTAGATATATAAATGAGTGTCCTTATATATCCCTGAGTTCTTCCTATGTAGAATGGTAGATGGTAGAATGGTAGAATCGCCTTGGCGGATTCTACTGATCTACTTACTACCCTTCTACTACCTGCATAATCACGTGATACTGAGTAGCGGTTGTCTAGTACGTAGAGCAACCTATATATCGGAAATCCTCTGCGGGGTGGATCCGCTCAGGGCGGATCATGCTCTTGCTCAGTGAGCTTGCACGTGACCTGCTGATAGATCTTGCTGGTTGGCTCTCGATGGCCCATTGGTGTGCCTAGTGGATCGCCACTGATTGGTGACGGATAGGTCCGTAACAACTACCTCGGCATAAAACAAATCATATAGAGGACTCGGCATTCGGATAGTTAGATAGGACCGTCTAGGGTCGTAGTCGAGCCTATAATATAACTCAACAACTATACCTTTAATACGCCTAAAGTTCGACTATACTTACCTTATTTTGTCTTCTACGTAACCTCGAAGAGATTTATCACTATCTAGTATACGTAAAACCTCCGTATATTAGTCCGGAGTAAGCTGGTATTACCACTAAGATTGTGGCCTTCGACCTTTACGGTGGAGTTTGAAACAGTTTAGCACGCTTTGAGCACTAGTCGACAACTTTTTCTCTTCTGAAGGCGGGGGTATGGGGGGAGTATTTACAAAACTCCCAATTAGTGTGATTGTTTTCTCCATAAGATCTGATTCAGGCGACATCCTTGGGTTACGGGTTGTTTATGTTATAGAGAAGGGGCTAAGCGCCGGATGAGTTGATGTGTCACGTGCTCACGCGATTGCAGAGATGTCGTGTAGAACGTAGCAACCGTCTTGGAGGGCCTATTGGTGTGTCCCACCAGTGTGATGAGGTCCACCTAGGCGTCAAGTAGGCCTATCGAATTGGTTCCTGGGGTCGCGGGAGGAGTCGGAAAATGAAAGTGGTGAAGTGCCAGCGTCAAGGAGTAGTCAATGATCATAGCGCTGAATATTGAGCTGAAGGGTCAATATCGACTTGGCGTGGCAGATGGAGCTAGGTAGCCGGGAACAGCGGTGACCAGGGAGTCGCCGTCGCTTAACGCACCGGTCTGTGTGTTAGAGTTTGCGAGCATCGGTGGCCCCAACAAAAGCCTACAATGACATAAAAACCTACTCTTAGCGTTTATCAATCCACTAAGTTATTAAAATAAATAACAATTTTTTATAACTACACTAATTTATCAATTGAATATTGCTATATTTTAACTAAACAAATTAAAAATTTGATAAAATAACCTAAATATAACAGTTATTGACTTAGCGGGTGAGGCTGGCGCAGCACTGGGAATAATGGCCCTAGGACATGTAGAAGTACTGTAGATGGATGAACTACAACTGTTGTCCTGTCATCACCCAGTCCTGATCCGTGGGCCTTAATTCCGAACGGAGAACCTTGAACTTCTTCCTTAGCCACTGAGCGCCGGTGAGTATTGGTTCATTCGAAACCCTAGGCGGAATCAACGATGTCTCTTGCCCGGTCATCGGGGTCTGGTCCTCTGGGCGGACCATATAGGCAAACGAATATCGCGTCGGCATAGCCGTATTAGGCAACGGGCCAACTTTGTGTATGCAGGAACGCAGATATCCATTGGTAAGAAGAGACATTGAATCCCCAAGGTTGACAATAGCGTGATTCTTCATGGGTAATACCCATTCCCAGTCATTAGTGCTAGTAGTGCAAATTTGAAGTCCAGGTTGCTCAGTAAAGAGGAATGTGAGAGTTCCTAGGTCTGTGTGGGCGGCGTGCGGTGCACCGCGTTGTTCAATTGGCTGGGCCTGATACTTGAGAAGTCGAAGAATGTCTGACGATGGAGCGTTCAGGCGATGAAAGAGCTTCAGGTTAGCTGATTGTGGTATCTGGAGCGCAGACGACAGGCTGTCATTGACTGTATCAGCGATGGAGTGGACGGTCTGTGTAAAGTCTTTGAGTGTGCCCATATATTTGTCGATGATGAATGGGCGGCTGAAGTCTTGGTGGCCCTCCAAACCAAGAATTCCGCTTTTAGGAATCTGGAAGAGGATGAATAATGCATTAGTTTCAGTCTTTGGTATGAATTAGGGTCTGGGATCGTACTGCGTAGGTCTCGAACCCATCTCGCTGGGCAGAGAGCCCTCCGAAATTCCTCCCCACCGGTTTGTAACTGAAAGTGATACATTTGTAAGAGACAATATTCACAAAAGTAATTTGTAACATACCCGTTGCATTTCATTTCGCCCAGTTTGTCGACATCGTACATCATTTTCTCCTCGTAAGGCATGTCATACAAACCCCTGGTGAGCTCGTACAATGTATCAATGATTGTCGACATTTTTCCTTCGATACATTGAAGGTTAAGATAGAAAATGCCATTTTCCCTGCTGGCCTCGAGAAGACGTCTGATTTCGCCGTTGTCGCCGTCTTGCAACAGAGCGAGATCGATGATTTGCAATTTCGCTAGGGGAAGCATCATCCCCCCGTTTGCTGCTTCTGTGATGATTTTTGTCATTATAATTCCAAGTACTGCCAGCTCAGCAGGGCTTACAGAGACTCCATGTCGGTATAAGTAGGCTACAATATATGGACACTGTGAGAGCTTTCAAACTGCTGACTTGAGGTCAGATGTGCCCACTGCGCCTATTACTACGTATACAAATCTGGTCCTTGCGTCAACGACCCTTGCCGATTCATTCCATATGATGATAAAGAGGTGGGAGGGAGGGAAGAGGAAAGGGGGGGGGAGGGGGGCGATAACTCGTAAGATTGTACAAGAGGGAACACTGAGACAATCCAATATCCAATTCAAGGACACAGTTATGTTGTACGCATCACCTTATGACCGTCTTTTGGAATGTCTGGGTGTAACCAATTATACAGTGGTGGGCTGTTCTCTCTTCCATTAATACTGATGCCTGTATCGCACCAGCATTGGCGACCAATCCTGGAACACCAATCTTCCAGGAACTTCGCTCCTTCACAAAGACAAAGACAGCTTGCGACCATAACGATGGATAGCCCACCCTATTCTCTAGAACAAATTTTGAGGGTCGCTTGTCAGCATCCCTTCTACAACTGTGACGCCCGATATCCTCCATCGCGGGAGATGGTTCACCATCTGGTAGAAGAAGCTTATGTGGGCTCGAAGGGACCTGATATAGTGGATTTTCCCGTCATTACGAAAGTCAAGTTGTATGTTCATCCCCACTGCTACTCATATAATCATTCATAACATCCTCCCAGGTCTCAGGTCATCTCCCGCCTCATGGGCGACGACTCACCAGATAATGGATACCGGCACCACTGCTATGCCACCATCACTGGTGGCGGGTTCAAGCGTGGTACTCCGTTACTCTGGCTGACTGACAGTGTTGAGAACCGTCATCATCGAGCTGCAGCTGGAAAGCTAATTCGGATAATGGGTGTGATCGAGCCCACAGATATAGTTTTGAATCTGCATGTCTCTGGTCATTTTTACAGGTGCGTATTGATGGGTAATCTTTTGGGTTATCGGAGCTAAAAATAAGCTCTCCTAGGTCTCTTGACATGACAACGGATATATTGGAGCACGCTGGAGCTACCGTTCTCCCCGCTGGCAGCGAGATGCCCTCAGAAGTGGTAGTAGAGGCTCTGGTAGGGTACTGTATAACCTGCCTCGCAGGTCCTGTCACCGAGCTCATCAGGATAGCAATGCATATCTCACGTCTCTCGGGGTCTTTGGGCGGTCAGCTCAAAGTTTGCAAGCTGTTTTATACATCTGAGCCACTGTCTGCTGTACAGGAAGCATTCCTAAAGCACGTATTTGGCCCTGTGACCATATTCTCTGGGTTAGGAAGCGCAGAGATTGGTTTCTGGGGGGTAGGCAACCCCCATCTGACCGGGCCACCAGGTTCAGTCAATGCCAGGGACTACGTATATGATACGCGAAACATGCTGGTGGAGATTCTCCCAAGCGACCCTACTGGGATAGCCACTCCTGACTTTATGTCTGAAGGCACTCGGGGATATATCACCGTGACCTCTCTACAGCGTCTAAGAAATCCGCTAGTGAGATACAACGGCGGTGATATTGGCTCGGTACACCAGCTCCCTGCAGCTGCTCGCCACCAGTTACCGCCTGAAGAAGTTGAGCACTATCGTTTCCTCAGAATGTATGGCAGGGACCCCCGGCTTACTTTCACGTGGAAATCTGAAGTGTTTGATTATGAAACTGTTTTCGCAATGTTACAGAGTCCCGGATGGAATATTTTGCAAAGCCAGGTTATTTTGGATGACCAGCAGGCTGGGGAACAACTCGAAATCCGCCTGATGCGTGGATATGGACTTTCCAGAGAAGTCCCTGACCAGGATGTGACGTCTGAGCTACGTCGGACTTTCTCTGCTGGTGCCGACGCATCCTTCTCCGTGACATTCGTAAGCGACCTCTCTGCTCTAGAACGAAGTAATACTGGGCAGAAAGTGGTTCGATTTGTTGATAAGCGCAAGGGCTGCTCGGGGGTATGAATATACTACGCTGGGTGATTGGTCAAAATGCGTACAAGCATAGGTAGTGTTGGCAAGAATTTTACGTGTATGGAGATCAGTCGCTCGTATAGATTCTGGGAGACACCGCTGGTAATCAGGTACGATAATTAACTGATGTGCATACACCTATTTAGAATCTGAGCAATAGCCCAAGTATTGGGAGTTATGGAAGTAACGGACATACTGTAACCCGTATATCCTAGCATTCTTGTCGTCGCCAGTAATGTTGTACACGATTTACGAGTGCACCCTTACTTCACGCATTGTCTTCATTTTCAGAATAATGAATTATTCAGCAACTCACACCGCTATTTGAGAAGCCCTTACTGCCCATCTTACGTGCAGAAAGTGATGGTGAGGTTGCATTATTGTGATACATTGGCACGCTTGCCAACATCATGGGTGCGAAGAAACGTGTTGCTGTTCTATGAAATCGTATCCAATAGCGGCCACTGTGAGATATATATGCACCGAGGAATGTAGGGATATGCCGGTGAACATTTCTGTTTCACATTCGTGTCTCGAATGTACATACCGATCGTCTGTAGTTGGGACGTGCCCAGGTTCTAGATCGATGCTGCTAGTAGAGTGGACGATTTACTAAACAGCTACCTAGATCTCGTTTTGGTACTTTAATTTTTCTTGCTAACTAAATATAGCTTCGTTACCTTCATAATCCTGCAACGTTTATCAGGGTTGAAGTTGTTTGGCACCCCTCTAACACTATTGGATCAAATCTACTTTGATTATGGCACATCCTTCCTCTCCTCCAGACGTTGACTCTCTGGATGTCTTTGTTGTTGGAGCTGGCATTGGGGGCTTAACAGCAGCCATTGCACTCCGCCGTCAGGGACACCGAGTAACAGTCTGTCCACCCTGTTCGCAATGTTTGCACTAACTAATTGGTTAGGGTAGATCTATGAGCGGTCTAAATTTGCGGTGGAGATAGGAGCAGGAATCCATATTTCCCCTAACTGTGCGCGCATGTTGCATTTGCTAGGATTATCAGTAACTAACCTGCAATCTGTTCCTCTTACTGCCGTAAGGATTCACTATGGTTTTTATCATTAGATGCTATATACTAACAAGACAGATGAAACGATACACGCCATCGGAAGAGCCGCATGACTATGTCAAGACCAGTCCGGTTGCAGGTGCAGTATGAGTATCCTCAAACCTGCCTAAATCGGAAGGAGCTAACTTTCAGCCGTCTAGCCGACAGTCCTCGCACACCGTAATACACTTCATGCGGCCTTGAAAGAGTTGGCGACCACGACTGAAGGCTCAGGCCTCCCAGTAGAGATAATTCTTAACTCACGTCTGGTGGACCTCGACGTCGAAAAGCCTTCCGTGACATTATCGACCGGTGAAGAGATCATCGCTGATGTTATCCTCTGCGCTGATGGTGTAAACGTAGGCTCTGTGTGCCCAATCAGACCGAAGGAAAGACTGACATTTTATAGTCCTGGGCGCGATCTTTCATAGCCCCCGGCCATTTACCCAAGTCCTATGGCATGACCTGCTATCGGTGGCTGGGCCCATATCAAGAAATGATATCTGATCCTCAAACTGCACAATATAGCGCCACAGGTCATATGCACGAATGGAGGGGCTATAATCGAAAGCTCGTCAGCTACCCATTAGCTGATCACAAGCTCTTATACTATGGAGCGTTTGTGCCAAATGGTCGTCGTGGCGCATCGAGGTTAGGTAAGATTGTGATCTTGTATATCTTACGATATCGCCTGCCTTTGTGATATAAGACTGATAAATTGTCTGCGCTCGGAGTGTAGATTGGAAACAAACCGGACACAAGGATGATCTGATCAAGGCATTTGATCGATTTGGCCCCGGTGTCCAGCGTATTTTGCATTTGTCGCCAGGAGAACAGCTGATGTGCTGGGATCTCCAGGACATGGAGGAGCTCCCAAACTGGACGCGAAAATGCGCCGCATTGGTCGGGGATGCAGCTCACCCATTACTGCCATGTAAGTACATATTCAATGAGGGATTTATTAAACCGCTGGCTGTCTGACCTTCACAGTCTTAGGTCAAGGGGCAGCTATGGCCGTCGAGGACGGACTATCTCTGGGGGCCGTTCTATCTTCGGGGGTCAAGAAATCCCAAATTCCTGAGCGATTACGGCTTTACGAGCGATGCCGAAAGTCCCACGTTCGCAAAATCCAAGATGCTACTCGTCAATATGGCTGGGAGCTGGATTTTAGGAAAGGTAGTGGAAAGACATGTAAGTGCCCGAACTCCTCATTGTGAAAATTCACTCAACATAGTGTCAATAGATGAAGAGCTCATGGTAGTCAAGAGATTCTTTGAGGGCCATAATGAGTGGGAGCATTCATTGAGACAGATGGATTGTCAGAGCACAGTACAAGCAGCTAAACTATAAACTTGGAGTGCAATGTCTTCTTCGCATGACGAGGGGCCCGGGCATCCTAGGCTTGCAGCCGCCCGTAGGTTGTTATAGTTAGTGACTTGTGTTTTTACTAGCATTTCTATAGTCGGCGGACTATTATACATTCACACATGCATTGTGTCTCGCAAATTTACATGAGTTTTCTGTCACTGGGGAACACATATACAGCTCGAAGCACCGCTTTTAGGAGTATGTACACTGTAAGTAATCCTAACAACTATGCTACGGCCAAAATAAGTAAGTGTCTGAACTTCAAGTCACTGTGGCAAATAATATTACAAGATAATCAAGACATACTGCAATTCAAAGGTGTCAAGTGATCGGTTTAGGAAGAACGAATAGATCTCACTACTAGGAGAGTCTAAAAGGAAATGAAGACGAAAATAAAAGAAAATAAAGTAAAATTCTCGCCGAAGATTCAGGTACTTGTGTAGTCGACCAGTAATAGTGGCTTATCATGTAGAGCAGGTTAGTTTGCCCTCAGTACCTTAACCTCCAAGGCACATTCACTGGCCCCGGAGGAGCGCCAGACTCTGACCAGTTGCAGCCCTACCCTTCCCAGTAGATTTTGCCATTGTTGGGTGGAACGTTCCATTGCAGAGTAGTTCATCCACATCAGAATATCAAAACTAGCCTCTCCAAGGTCCACCCCTTGGTCCTTTAGAACGCGATCGACAATCAACAAGGTAGAATTATCGGGGTCCATAGCTAACACAATGTTGGAAAGTATCTTCTCGCAGTTCGAGTCTGACCAGTCGTGAAGGACTCGGGAAAGGAGGTAAATGCATGCCCCTAGGTTTAAAAAGTAAGTATTAAAGGCAAATAAACGGGCAATGAAAAACCTTTACCTACCCTGTACAGGCTGAGGTGCGAAAAAGTCATGCTCCATTAGTTCTATACCGTCAGGGGGCTGGTCTAAATGCTGGAACGTCGACGAGAGATCTTGCAGGATCAACCGGCCAGGATGATCAGGATAGCTATCTCTGAATCGGGCGAGGACTTCCCCTTTACCACCCCCAATATCCACCACAAATGCCTGATCATGTTGACATTTTGTTTTGGGTAACCATTCCTTGGCAGGGTAAATTTCAAACCATCCGCACTGTTGACCGCGGTCTCGCCAGGACATGTATTCGTCAAATAGCCTCTTTCGCTCTGGGATTGTCTCTACCAAATCAAACAGATTTTCTTTGTTGTAGGTGAACTGAAACAATGTTTTCGTATTTGAGTCCTTTGCCGTCAGTTGGAGATCATGAGATCGCATATATTCGCTTAGCTGGCCACCCTGGGACTTTATCAGCTACTTATCGTATGTAGATTCACGTATTTTACGGACTGCATACCATTGGGAAGGTTATATCATGTCTGGAGCATCGTTAGATAAGTAGATTCAACGGGGGATTGGCGATCTTACTGGAATTTGACTCCTGCAACAGTACCAGGTTGACTATAAAAGTCTGTCCGATGGTTTGCAGCGTAAGTCTGAATTCCCACCTCCTCACAAAGCCCGGTAGCTGCCAAAAGACGTAGGAGTCGAGCTATTCTAGTTAATTTGAAAGAAATGAACAATTATCTGTCTTCGCCTCTCACCAGTGATAAGGGCGTTAGTGCCTGTCTGCTGGGCAACATCGGTAGCTTTAATGGCCCGGCCCTTCGCTGCCGCAATAACGTGAAGCCAGCATTTTTCTGTGGCAATGCGAATCGCAATATTTTGTAACGACTGTAGCAAGGCTTTTTAACTTGGGGTGCTTTCTACTAAAGGACAAGGGCGAGGATTGTGTACCTGGAAGTTCAAGCGGAAAAGGGTCTCGAAAGGGGTTTCTACTGCCAGCTGCAACCCACGAATGGATTTCAATAGCTCCTTATGTGCTTGTAAATCACCCGCTTCATCAGCGCTGACCAGATCCTGGAGGCGCTTCAGATGCTGTCTGATAGTTATGGCTCGCGTTATGTGATTATTTGGTTGCGGAATCGTCATTTTATACTGATTGGCCAAGCAATAGTAGCCGATGTTAAAGTTGGTTGAGAGAGAGAAAAAAATACTATGAAAACTAAGGACAAGAAGATGCTATTTTTTGCTTGATAAATAGATGAAATACACCGACATTTTGTTCTTGCCTCCCGCATATCAGCAACCCTTCCGTCAAAATTGTGGTAAAACCCCTCACAGTCGCTGTTTTAGATTGCTGGCGATGACCCACTGGGCTAAGCAGGGGGTTAAAAATGACTGCAACGTGCCTTCAAGAGAGTTGAGCCACTCCAATTCCTAAGCTGCTTCATCCTCCACCCAATGTAATTCCAGTTGGCCGGAGCGCCATTCCCCTTACAACTCCTCACTGTATTATTAGCCTTACTTCTCGGCTCGTCAAACATGGACGCCTAAACATTAACATGATTGTTTAATGTTGCACCTGATAGAATGGGTAAGGACCAAACGCAGTTCCTTGAAGTAAGGGATATCCAATTCAGATTGTACACCAGACATTTTGGACAGTCAGTGGGAAATGGGTGTGATAGAGCATTAGGTCGTGTATGAAGCCCGTCTTAATGTCTCCTGCACTTTGCAGGGCCTGTGAGACACGGACGTCGAGAGATAACAGCAAAAACTGAGGCTCAGAAGTAATACACAAGAGTATACCGCGTATGGCATCATGGATCTAATAGTAGTAGTAGTAGTAGTAGTAGTATGAATAATCCTCTTTAGGGGCTGGTATTATAACGATTCAACGATATATGTTTATGCTGTTAAGAGCTTGAATATCAAAATATTGCTATCTATTTAGATGATAGTGCCTCTTGAATGGCATGAGCCGTGGCATCTTTAGAGTGAACTATATATCATCAACAGTCTTGTTATCGCATACTCCCCTGCACATCGACACTCCTTTACTACGTTGGGAAATTTTCTTGAGAAGCTTAATCTATCGTTCACCACGGTACATAGACAGAAGACTACAACTTCTATCTTAATGAGATCTGAGATCTCTAATCGTTATCATCGATTGCGGTGAACATGGAGAATACACTCGAAGATCTGCGGCGCAACAGGGTCACCCAAGCTGAAGAGATACAGGGCCTGAAAGACGGTATTGCAGAATTGGAAAGCTGATCTCTTTCAATTTGGGCCCAAAACCCAGCCCATTTGGTGGGTTGGGTTGGGTTGGGTTAGGCTAAGGGCTTTGTGGGTTTTCTTGAGGCCTAGTTCAGATACATGTTTCGTAGCGCAATATCTCTTGCCTCGCGATCCTTTGGGATACAGATTGTATCCCACCAGATCCCAGCTGTTCCTTCACAGTGCTATTCTCATTCTCAAGTGGACAATGCTCAGGTAAGCATATTTCATGTTATGGATGGGCGAACAAATCAGGAGACTCACATTGATTTATCACTATCAGTGCAGGAATATCGTTTGCGCTACGATTAGAAGTTCTTGCCGGATTCTAAAGTCTTTTACGGCAAATACCAAATTTTTCTACACGTTTAAAGGCACATGAAACTGCTAGAGTCGTAATAAGGGAAAATATTCTATTGTCCTCCCCTCTCTAACCCCTAAGGGTCACAAAACTGTCCCTCAGTCTTGCTCTAAGACTTTAAGGTGGCTGATCTCTAAGCGCCAGAAGTATATAACCTCAAATAAATAAAAGGCCCTATTTCAGGATCTGGGTTTGTGCGGTGGGGTGATGTGTACAACCGAAGGGTCGTCTTGCATGATGGTGGACAATGCTTTAAAAGTTCAGATAGAATGGCTTTCTTTTGGGGTTCTTTTTCCCGACAAACATGAAAGATCAGCCTTTATGAATTCTACAGGCCTTCTAGACCAGATATCATCTTCAATTACGTAACAAAGTGATTCGGGCGCTTGGGTCGGGCCAAATGGAAATTTGCTGTGTTGAACAGCCTATTAAATTTTAATATCTCATTTTTTTGATGAGGCTGAGCTATGCAGGCCCGAATGCAGGGTTGCGCTCACCAGAAAGGATGATACCTCAGCACGCAGGAGCCTCTCCTCTTTGGTCCATTTCATATTAAATTGTGCCGCCATACCCTATCTATCTTTGGCACAGCTCGGGTATAATTACGCAAAGAGAGATGTTGAGACCGCAGTTGATGCCTCAGGCTCCGAAGTCTGCCGTGCTGGTGTAGATATCGAGCCAAACAATAGCTCTTCTGTCAGTGCGACTTATGATCCTATTCTCAATAATCCAAAACTTTCTTTCAAAATGATAACCTGCTATTGAATACTTTGAGGAATATATATCAAGGCCCCCAAGGCTGTTTCCCCCTTGGCCCGTTTTGCAATGCCTCATATTTCGCTGGAGGGGGATATGTTGACGAAGAAGAGACGAAGATGAATCGGGGATAGTAAGAGGGACATGAAAATCGATAATCAACATGAGTATATGCATTCTTCCCCACGAATATCCTAGATCCTAGTGCCTCATATATAAACAACCACACGTGGAACCTTGGAAGTCTTCGCTCAGAACAATGAAAAACCATAATCCAAACAAGTCATTCTATTACAAAGACCCTTCATCATCCAGTATAAAGAGAGCAATACCCAAATATAAAAACAGAAACACAGTCTACCTATACAAGGAAATCATGACCTTCGACAACCAGGCAACCAATAGTAACCTTGTATTCCTTGGACAGAAAGAAACCTCGACATTCAGGGCCCTATGTCCACTTCTGATGATCAAGTTCGATGCTCCGTCGCACGATGAAAAAAACCAGCGTTGGCATTTCCGTCCTTGCCATCATGCGATATGACTCCTTTGAAAGACTTATTCTGGTTCGTGATAGCGCGAAAGGGGCCTGGTCTGGCCTTTGGCTTTTTATCAAAGTCGTAGGTGTTCCCTGTCGACATGACAAGGTACTCCCGATACAATGTAGTAGAGCTATTTGTGCGGACACGAAACAATGGCTGGCCATCTGGACCTAAGTCTTCGTTACTGCCATTCGAGTAACCGAGCGCGTTGGTGTTTCAACAATATGCAGGCCCCGCTTTCACATCACCTCACTTCTTACTTAAAGTCTACAACCTTCCTCACAAGCTTCAATTTTTCTAACCCTTGATCCGGGGTTTTTTTTTGTCTTAACCATGGCTGCACCTCTCCATCTACACCTTGCATCTCTTGAAGATGACGACCCATGGATTGTTGAACAGAAATATTTCATGATCCTAAACAATTCTTTGCAGCCAGATAGTCAGGTTTCGGCTGCAGAAGCTGCAGCTGGGATAAATGAGCTCACCCCAATGAATCGTGAGGCAAATGGCGAACAGGCAGAGGAGCCTGAAAGCTGGTGTTTGGAGTTTTGGGGAACAATCAACGAACTTGTGAAGCAAATTCCTCATAATCATCCCTCACAAGACAAGATGGTTGAGATCATCAAAGAATTGAAAGCTTTACCCGGAGTGGAAGTTTTCGTTTGCAAAACAGTATCTTATTCCTTATTCCTAGTTATCATGTTTCGGTCTATGTCTGATTTGTTTATCCTTTTCCCTAGGCAACAACACGGATTTGGACAGATCTTCCATATTTAATGGAGGTATGGCACGAGTATGCCGTCAGTAGGTTTTACCTTTCGACCCAATGGGTATCGGCATCTAAACTAAACCTCTACCTTACTACACAGCCCCCAAACCTAAGGATGGAGCATTTGAATTTGAGAGATGGATAAATTGGCAGGCATTTTCAGCCCGTGTCCTCCAAGCTGGCTTGGCAGACTGGTTTCGTCTGACGACCCGGTGCTTCCGTCATGCATTCGAAGAGGAGCCCCTTCAAGTAGATGAATTTTCGGAGTGTCGAATCCGCGGTGCTGCGCAGTGGATTGAGTATTCCGGAGAAATACTCTTTCGCTCCCTTGATAATTTACCTGAATTCACGGATCTGAACCCCGGAACACTATATACAGGCAAAGGGGGCCTGTCCCGTGAGAGATGGGACTTTTGGGAAGCAAGTTTCTGTGCCCTCGCAGAAAACGAGAATTTCACGGAGGAGATTGTGTTGATTTGCGACAAGACTGCACAGAAAATGGCCGCAATTGCTGCAAACATCGCTGTTAGTGATGAGCAGAGTCATAACGAGACGGCAGCAATTGAGGACTGCCATTAAATGCGTCGCACCCGACGAATTGATTGATGAGATCGAGGGACAAAGGAAGAGAACGCTGTACATGCCAAGTTAAACCAAATATGCTATCGTATCATAGTACTTTCCCATCCTTCATAGTTAGCTACGGCAAATAATGCGATTGATAGATAGCATTTACTTTCCTTTACGACTCTTTCCTATAACCTTTTGCATATCTGCCTAACACAAACTATCAGGTCTAGTAGTGTTCAGTTCACTTCTGGGCTAGAGTCTCTACACTAGCAATTGGCTTGGCATTAATCAACTAGATTTAAATAAGTACTCTTTTTAAAAGAACGTTAGTTACTTCTACTACGAGTTACCCTTACGGAGAACAAAGCTCTCTATTCCGTATACCTAGACAAGATAAGAATCAGAGTCAAGTGTTAGGCACTAGTCTTTCTTTTCTAAGCCTAGGTTCATCCTTTTCTATAGGATGTTATACATTTAGTATTAGTACTTTAGAGGATAAAGATCCGGTGAGAACGTTTAGTATGGATTAAAGAAGGAAGATTGGCCACCAGCTGTTTCTTGTCCTTGTTTCCGATTTCAGAACTCTTCATCATCCTGCCATGAACCCGGCATCACAGGCGGCGGGCTCTCAGCCCATTGAAAGAACACACTAACCACAGGCTCACTGAGCCATGCAACTTCCTCATGCCAATCCCAAAGTATCTTCCAGTCTTGTGGAAGAGGTCCACCATAGATGGACTTTAATCGTGGCCCCTTCCCGTCACATGCTAAAACAGTCCAGGAAGCATTCCGAAGCGCCCAGCCCTCATCAAACATCTTCCGCTCCCACCACCCGTATGAGCCCAGGTTCACACCCGCAGCTTGCAAGTCCTCGAGCCAGAACACTAATGCGCTCTCGAGCTGACGTTTATTCTGTCGGACCTCCCGCCTCTCCGCGGGTACCGGCCATCTCGCATCCATCAACCCCGCAAACAATGGGGTGGTTGCTTCCCAGATCTCGTTTCCCTGTCTACTGAGATCCCTAGCACGCAACCCTTTGAATAACCAACGAGCAAGCCTTCTCCACTCAGAGGATTTGGTTCTCATGTGCTGTGCGTTTGACCTCCTACAGACATTATGGAAGTAGACCTTTGAAAACTCGTGAAGCGAGCTCACGGTGGCCCCATTTAATTGGCGTCTTACAGTCTCGGCATCTGATACTTCACGAACAAATATATCTAATAGAATCTTCGCGTCAACATACTCCCAGATAATCGACGTGAACCGGGAGTCAAGGGTAATTAGGGGCGACTCCGCCTTCACTAAGTCCCATAGGCTAGGTACGCTCCAAAGAAAGCGGTGCAGAGTACTTTTCCGGTAGTATTCAGCCCTTGGGAGGAATAAGGCGCATGCGGCATCGGATAGGTCGTCGTTGGATTTGATGAAGCGGTATACGCTCGCGATATCACTAGCTTCGTCGTTGTTTCGACAGAGATAGTAAAGCGGTGTGTACCCATCGGCACTTGTTTCGTGCATGCTGAGACCTGAGCGCACGAGGTATGTGATTGTGCTGAGATCGCCTTCAAATGCTGCGTACTACCCATCTTTAGTGGTGGCGCTATTTTGTAGGTGGCGCTGGCGGACTGGTTACTCACGTGTAGTAGCGTCCACCCGCGCGGATCACGGTCATACAGCGATGCCTTGCGCTCGTTAAACAGAGGAATCATGGCTAAGAGATCACCATCAGAGGCAGCGTCGAAGACGTCCGCATCAAACGGCCTTACTGTCCAGTGTCGAAGGTTGTACGTCCATCCATTGCTGGCTCGTCTAGCACATATGTCCCATACATACCGGGTCAGCCATGCGGGTAGCTGTATTCGCGCGCGGTAGACTTAGCAGTGTTAGTGTGGACGTTTAAAAACATCGTCTCGCCCGACCGACCTTCTTCTCCCGGGATGGTCGCAGTCGAATCTACTACGGAGAATTTCGACGAGTAGCTTCCGAAAACCGAATACGTCCAGGGTAGAATCGGATACTCTTTGTTCGGTGCGATCCATCCCTCTGTTTTATTCTCTTTGCTACTCGTACTACTCATACCTATGCTTGGTATTAGATTGGTGCTGTGTGAGGATTGCCCCTGGATATTAAGGCCAGCAGTCGACGCTCTCTGACCGGCAATCAAAGCAGGCTGCTGCCTAGCCAGCGCTCTAATACACATTGGTAAGCCGAGTCTTGGAAAGCATCAGGGAGAAACTTACATCGCATACGTCTGCTGCGCAATCCCTAGCAATTGCATCGCATCTCGTAACTCAGCCTCAAGCCGGCGTGCCACTCCCTTCTCAAAAATAACCTTGACCCTCGCTCTGTTTCTGGTTGACCTTTCTTTATCCGTGTCGCGCTGTCCCAAATCGCTCACGAGCGCATCGAGCTTGTCCTTCGCATTTTTGCAGTAACGAATGCTTAATTTGATGGCACTGTTGCTAGCGAACAGTTGCTGATCGCGGCTGAGCTCCGTCTCTAAGTCGTCTAACACTGACTGCACCAATGTCAGACGATCTAGTAGAGAATTTATGTATTCGGGCACTTCATGCACATCGTTCCACATGCGCTTGAGGGCTAAGATGCCCTTGGCCGTTTTGGTGGTGGTGTCGGCTAGGATAGTCTTTAGCTAAGTCGACCTAGAGGGTGATTTGGAACCTGCCCGCAGAGTAAAAGATTGGACCATAATTCAAACCCACCTGGAGGCCAAAGTTCGACTGACCAAAGGTTGTTGAAGCCATGGCTGTGATGTGTATATAATGTTTGTAGGTTGCTAGGTGGAGCTCATGACCAAATGTCAGACCCAGAATTAGAATACCATCCTCAGCCTGTCAAGATTAGGATCTGATTAAGTTAGTTAACTACCTAGGTAGTGTGGTGGGGACAGAAGGAAGCGGGGTAGTTCCACGCTGTGTATGAAAGAGATTCAAGAAAAGATGGGGCAGGTGCCCAAAAGCAACAGTTGCACACTCCAATAGAACAGATGAATTCAAATGTGGTGTAGAAATAGGATCGTCCTATTTTTATCCCCACTGGCTAGAACACAAGAAATTGTGACAAACTGACAAATAATATTAAATCAACCCGAAGTCTATACAATATTCAGATGGAACATTCTGAGGCAACTTCAGTAGGGAAATGCGGGACAGGTGTTCACATGAGGAAAAACTTCAAAATGAAATTCAACATGTCTTCAACACGGCGCCCCCAATGTGGATTGATTCACTATAACCCCTTCCGAGAATTCAGATTCGCTTTATGGCTGCTATCGGAACAACGACTAGGTCAGCCAATTGGCTATGCCACGAAACAGCAGCACGAAACGAAACATGTGTATTTGAGGGATGAATTCCAAGGTTGCGTTCAGAATTTGGGTCAAACCTACGCGTCCCGTTTAGCATTACGAGTCTCTGCCCTTGGCTTCCGAGATGATTTTTCCATCTTCTCTTTCTCGCAGGTCGAACAGGTTCCACATCTCTGGTGCTCGAGCGTCGCAATGCACTTGGCATTTTTCTTTTGCTTTTTGCATGCTTCACTGCCTGGATTCTTGCAACTGGTTGTTGCAGTTATTTCTGTGGTGCTGGGGCTGCCGCAAGAGTACTTATGGAGCTTGTATTCCTGTCGACACATTGTTGTCTATGGACTTTCAGTAATGGTAACCTGGTCAGGGTAACCGGAAAGCTGGTAGTTGATGGCGAATGAATTGCAACCTTAATAGAGTAGCACGCAGGGAAAGATGTGTTAAATAAGGAGGTTTGGACTTGAGCCTCGGGGATAGGGGAATGCAAGGCCAGCGCACCGCGTAGACCAGTCTGACACCCACGTAGCTCAGGAATGGGATGTTTGATTTGTTCGCATGGTGGGTACATAACAGGATATTCGAACTGTGTTAAGTCAGTACAAGGTTCATGTGGTTCCACGTTGCACCGCCATATCAAGCCAGGCCTTGGATACACTACGAGGCTGTGGGTGCTGCCAAGTTCTTGGCATTAGTATTAGAGCCAGGGCTGAAGAGATACCGGGTAGCTTTTTCAAGGCTTCAAGACACAAGATTATTCGGCTTCGAGACTAAATACACAAGTGAAGTGTCAAGATCGACTCCTCCATGATGGAGGACCGAGCCCTTTAAGTTCAATACAGGCGTGTGTGTGTGTGAAATCATTTACCCCGGCTCCTCGCGTGTTGATTGCCCAACTAGACCAAAATACGAATCCGTACTCAGCCTAGTGGGTTGTGGTTTAGAATCTAACTTAATCCAACATCGCGAACGATATGCAGGATACGACAACTATATATCTCCGACTATGTATATGTAGAGTGATCCAGTTCGATAGACAGATCTAGTAGGACTACTATAAAGATTGTAGCGCACTGGAAAATGTCATGTTGCGTTAGGAAAGGAAGAGAACTAGCTGTCGAATACCAAGTCTGAATACATGGTAGAAACCAGGTAATATATCGGAAACATTATATAACATTAGGTACTAGGCATACCATACAAAAGTGCATATTACAGTTAGTCATCATGGTCCGCACAGATTGTTGAAAAAGCGGGTTTTGCCAATTTAGTTAGTTAGAGAGTTGTCAACATTGGTCATTTATACCATACATTGTTCGTACGCCAGTTTTCTGTCAGAAATCAAGTACTTGGGTATACTGCAACTGCCGTCTGAGTGTCAAGATTTCTCGGGGGCCTCCGCGCACAGCCTTCTATATATGATTCAATCAGCTGTCTTAGATGAATTTGCTTCTCGCTGAATCAGATATAAAGTCCAGCTTTGGTTGGATGCTACCAACTACCTTCTTTGTGCCATTCTACACTTCTATCACCAATGGTGAGATTAAGACCACCGTAGAAGGGACTTGACATGCTGATAAGATATGAAGAATAAATCCATAAAGCTCATGCCTATACGATAACTCTGCTACTCCCTGGGAATATATCTAAGCTTAGAATCGAGAGAAGGGTAACCTATTCATTCGTTAGATGATTGTTCACCAGACATAGAGACCCTTGGAAGGCTTACCATTTACCACGAAGAGTGATAACAGCCCAGTTATTGCCATCCTCATCAGTCTCCTTCTCAACCTTGGTCGAAAATGAAATAGCACTCATAATCCCATCCCCGAACTTCTCATTGAGAACCGCTTTGTAAGCATAGCCATAATTCTGCACGATCTCATACAGTCGGTAGATGAGGGGTTCCTTGGGCGGCATTTCGACGGAGCGACCACGATCGGGGAAGCCGTTGAGTTGTTCCTGCAAAGATAGCTGGGGGATGAGAAGCAGATCGGCCAGCTTTTCGATATCTTCGGGTGACGCCTTGGCCTGGCCGTAGAATATGGCAGCTGCGGCTACCTCATTGCGACCAAGGTGCTCGCCAATTTTCTCAAAGGTTAGCTTTCGAGCTGCCTTGGCTTTGAAGAGCGTTGTGGATACGGTGGGGAGGTTGGGGTGCTGTGTGGTCTGAAATGAGGTCAGCGGGGTTGCGTGCGGGTTGACCAAAGGGCATTCTCACATCCAGGGTTGCGAGAGACATGATGGACTGAATTCGGTAACTGATATTCAGTTTTTGAAGGATTGATATCTTGCGGTAATGCTTGATTGTTGGTTGTTGTTTGGCCGTGGAAGATAAATGTCAGGTACTTTGGGACAAATGCACTGCGGGGAAACAGGTTCTGATGCAATGTCTATGATTCATTCATGGATTTCCCGCAATAAATATCATTCCATTTATCTTCTACCATGAGTACCAGACATTTTTCACCTACGTCTTTACACGTTTTAAAGCATTGTAGTTAAATTTAAGCATAAATTTAGGCCCCAGGCCATTCCGTGACTTGGCATGCAAATCATATGGCTTCGGGCTATGGCTAAAGAACAGCTAGTATCTAAAACAATAGAGATCAGTTTAAACACAATAAGAAGAGAAGGTATGTATCTAGGTAATCAAATATTCAGGCATTATGGTCAACTCTACTCCGTCGATGCCAAAGCAACCTCGGAATCACACGTATGTTGTAGATGCTCGCCCCACCAACCTAAACCCTTTTGGGAAACCTCTGCGAGCAGCCAACCAGAGTCGAGTATGGCCCCACTTAGCTTATTGATGCTATCCAACCACCCATATAGACCAAAGGAAAGAATAAACACACTTCTAACTTCCACTTTACCACATGCATTTTGTAAAAGCTCGATCTCTGCCATATATCTAGTGTTGGAATGATCGGCAAAATGATAAAAATGCTCTATATCCTCAGAAGTGGTCTTTTCTTGAACAACTCCGGAAGACCTACCACTGTTCATTATGGCCACATCTCGAAATCCGATGGATAATATGAAATCCACATGGCGTACATGGGACAGAGATCAGTGGAAACTACCACATAAAATCTTCGAACGTGTCAACGTATACCACAACGAGCTCAACAGAGATGTCCCAATCCATTCCAAGGAAGATAAAATACCATATGTATCCCACTGGTCATTAAACCGCTGGGTTCTTGTCACCTCAGGGATTCCACTTCTTGTCCACCAGCTATTTACCTATTTGACCGGATACAACTTCCACCCTATCATCGCCTTCTTCTACTACTATCAAGCCTCAAGATTGTTCACGACACGCGAGCTGCGGATTATCCGAGAGCTCGGTCACACCTACGGGTTCTTAGACGGCGATCAACACGAGCGAGATGGTGTGCCCGATGTGGGCGTCTCAAAGGCGCTGATCTCGGTTATGCTGGCCGGGCTTGTGCGTCCATTAATGACAGTATGGCTTACCTATGATGCAAATAAGGCACCCGCCACACTCAGCTGGGCTTGGCTGCTCATTGAGATCAGTCTTTATGGCATCATCCTTGATTTTTGGTTCTATTGGTACCACCGTGTTATGCATGATGTGAATGGTCTCTGGAAGTTCCACCGCACCCACCACCTCACGAAACACCCGAACGCGCTCCTCACAATATACGCGGACTCGGTGCAAGAGTTCTTCGACATTGCCGGTATTCCGTTGATGACATGGTTTACGATGAAACTTATGGGGATGCCGATGGGATTCTACGAATGGCATATTTGTCAGATGTATGTTATATTTGCAGAGTTGGCTGGACATAGCGGTCTTCGTCTTCACGCCTCGCCACCTAACCCTGTGACATGGTTGATGCAGATGTTTGATGCTGAGTTGGTGATCGAAGATCACGATTTACATCATCGTCGGGGATGGAAGAAGAGCCATAACTATGGCAAGCAAACACGGGTGTGGGATCGGGTCTTTGGAACATGCAGTCCCCGTATCGAGAGTGTGGAGGCGAATATTGATTATGACAATCCTGTTAGCATGCCGATTTTGTGATATATCATTACCGGTTCTTTTTACTTTCGTCGGCCGAAAGACGATTTCAATACGATGGACGTGAGAATAGAATTAGAAAATGGCCTTGTAGCTTTTCCGATAGTCCTCTGTTCTTTATTTAACACTTCTTGGTCTATTCAGTCTCATTCTTACTATAGCCATAAACGAAAGTCTTCATCCAGCATCGGCTAGCATGCCTTGGCAAGTAGTGAAGGCCTATATGTAATGTGGTGCCGGAGTCGGGCAACTAGTGAAAGGATAAGAATTGCAAATTGGGGAATCATATGCGGACGGTAGGTACCGGTACCTACGCAATGAAGTTCTTATGAGCTTTTGAGATTAACCGTTTAGGATAAAGAAAGTCTAGTCGAGCGGAGGGGGCAAGGAGTCCGGACGGAATCTTGGAAGGTCAATGGACTACAGGACCCGTGATATTTCAAGCCCCCGTGTTTCCGGGAATCCGGGAATCCGAACGGACTATCCTCAACCCTTCAGCAAGGTCAAGTAAACCCCAAACAACTCCCGAAAGAGATAAAAGAGACCGTCATCGTGAAGATGGAAGTCAACATCACAGTTAAACATCACAGTTAAACATATTTTTCAATATTCACTTGATCTTCCCTTTAATCATCAAAATGGTCGGCTTTGATATGCATGGTTTGACGCCGGCTCCGGTGACTCCCTTCACCGAAGACGGCGCAGTGGACTACGAAGCCATTCAAAGACTTGGCTCCTGGCTCGGTAGCATTGATGGAGTGAAGGGCCTAGTGGTCCTCGGCCACGCTGGCGAAGGCACCTTCCTCACCGTCGACGAGCAAGTTTCAGTCATCAAGGCTTTCGTCAAGTCCGTTGGAAACAAAGTGCCCATCATCGCCGGCATCACCGGCGAAGGTACCGAAGTTGCTGCGCTGGAGGCCAAGCGAGCCAAAGAAGCCGGTGCAGCCGCTGGTTTACTCTACCCCTCTCACGGCTGGCTGCGGTTCGGATACCAGCCCGGTGCTCCTCAAGACCGGTACCGCCACGTGTTTGAAGTGTCCGGCCTTCCCTTAATTCTCTTTCAATACCCCGACAACACAAAAGCCACCTACAACCTGCAGACGATGTTGGATATCGCTGCTCAGCCTGGCTGCTTCGCCATGAAGAACGGCGTGCGCAACATGCGCCGATGGGACACAGAAATTCCTATCATTCGTGCTCAACGACCTGACCTACAAATCCTCTCTTGCCACGATGAATACCTGCTGCACACTTCATTTGATGTTGACGGATTTTTGGTTGGATATGGGAACATTGCCCCCGAGCCCCTCATCGAACTCATCAAGGCTGGCAAATCCAAGGACTATAAGAAGGCACGAGCAATCCATGACCAGCTGTTGCCTCTTACTAAGAGCGTTTATCACCGTGGATCTCACATGGAGGGTACCGTAGCACTGAAACATGCTCTTGTTGCTCGGGGAATCCTGACTCACGCTACCGTTCGACCACCTCTTTTGCCTCTTGAGGCTGGTGCAGAGCAGGAGATCCATGCTGCTATCAATGCCGCATCGCTTAGTAAGGTGGTCTTGTAATACAACTTCAGATCTAATTTGGCGCGTGGAATACTTTGATTTGGGTACATAGAGGAGACAAATCAGATGTCCTTGCTGAAGATATGTTTGCATATATTAGGCATGAGTAGGTGAGTAGAAGTGAAAGGATGGCTAAAACAGTAGTAAGTAACGGAACTCATGCTGTAAAAACCCAGTGTATTCTAGATGTCTATGAAGGCTGGACATAAAAGGACGAGCTGTGACAGTACGTGGTCTCGGATTCTCGGATTCTCGGCTATCTCCCCCCCCAACAGGTTCGTATTCGTATCCCCCCACATCCGCCTTCCTAGTATCTGGACCCGACATTTCCGTTCACCCTGCATATTACGCCCCTGCCAGCAGTCATGGTCTCTGAATCCCATCCACGAAAATCCCCCTCGGCGCCTGAGTGTTTCAGAACCGCTTTAGGCAAGCGTCCTTTGTATACGACCAATGTCGACGGGGACGAGGAGAACCGTCGGAAAGATCCGAAAATTAGTAGGGCTTGTGACATCTGTAAGAGAAAGAAGATACGGTGCGATGGCATACTTCCATGCAGCAATTGCGCTAAGAGAAAGCTCCATTGCGCTTATGACGCAAAATATGGCCGAGGGCGGCCTCCAACTCCTCCACCTTCAACCACAATCAATGAACGCCAACAAAGACCACGAAGTGATAGCTTAAACGACCTTTGTATCTGGCAGCAACCAGCACCTGTTGCTCATGATTTCCTGTCCTCACAAGTGCTTTCTCGCCCTTCGCCTGAAATCGAAATCGAGGGCCAATATGTTGACCCTACCTCGGGATTGAACTTTTTACATCGAGCGTGGAAGAAGTTGTTGACACAAAAGGATGAATCTGCATCATATGACCCGAATGATATGGAGCGAAATCAACTTCTCACTTCGGCCGGAGACCGTCCGTTTCACGTCGAAAATAGCGCATCAGATGGCTTCATCCCAGATGCCGCCACAGCGAGAAAGCTACAGGAGTTCTATTTCGAAACGTGTGTTGTGACCTACCGTATTTTCCACCGACAAACGGTTGAAGGCTGGATGGAGATGTTCCTGAGAGATCGACAGTTAGGAAAGCCGATTGCTCAGTCCATTGGTAATTCCAGGGCTGCGATTCTTCTTACCATCATGGCTATTGCGACCCTGCGCCTTGAGAAAGTGCATGGGGAAATGTCCACGGAAGATGAGTCACTTGTTCTGCAACGCTGTGACGACTTGTTTTGTGCTGGTATGAGATTGACCGAAATGGAGATGGGGTTCCCTCGTCTTGAATCAGCGCAGGCACGTCTCATTCAAGTCCTCTACCTTCTTCAAACAGCTCGTATGAATAAAGGCTGGTATACATTTGGGAATGCATTCCATATCACTCTCTCCTTAGGTATGCACAGGAAACGCGATCAAAAGCGAGACTTTCCATTCACGAGTAAGCGACAAAATTACATTACTTCAGAGTGCTATAAACGCACCTTCTGGGTAGCTTATATCATCGACAAATACCTTAGTGTTGTATTTGGGCGGCCTCGGCTTTATCAAGATGGAGATATTGATCAGAACTTTCCAGATAATATCAACGATGAGGACATGACGCCGCAGGGACCTTCCATCTCAGATGACCCAGCTGATTGTTATATTGATGCTCTCATATTTCATGCAAAGTACATGTCTGCCTACTATGACAATATCACTCTGCTAACAGGTGTGTAGAATTGCGAGAATAATTGGAAAGGTGTCACGGGAGGTATACTCAGTCAGCGACCTGTCCAACCAAGATCGCTTAGCAGCTGCCCATCGATCTAGCCGCGAACTACATGAATGGCATGCGAGTCTGCCACCACACTTGGGTATTGTGAAACCGTCAACATTGGTCCCCAGTTTCCGGCGTCAAGCCATCGCCTTGCAGCTCGCGTATTCCCATGCCCTCATTCACACCAATCGGCCGTTCCTTTTGACTGGAGGAGGGTCTGAGAATGTCATTGAATGCATCTCTGCCACCAAGGCTAGTTTAGAGCTCGTCAACAGAATGGCTGGGGATAATACGCTTCTTCATTCTTTCTGGTGGACACACTATGTCATCTTCTGCGCACTAGCAGTGGTCTATGTTTGGGAAATTCAGCGAACTACAAGACCCACGGATGAGATTGATAGTCAGTCTGTAGGTAAGATGTTTGATCTCGCAGAGAAATGCCATGGTCATCTCAAGCGAGCGTCTACCGGTCTATCGCAGAACAAACGATACAGCATCATACTGGACGAACTGAGATCCGAGGCCCAGAGATGTCGAATGGGAAATCCGCCACATCCAAACCAAGGTGGCCGTCCCAATGGCGAAAACAACGCCAACACCGATACTGGATTTCCATTCTTGCAAGATTCGGATATGTTCGGGTCTGCGAGCGCTCAGGAAGAGATCATGCCGAATATATTGGATAGTTTTCTGTTCAGCGACTGGCAGACACTTGATTCCTCGGTACGTGTAGCATTTGATAGTGCTCTCGTTATAATAGCTAACCCTAACCATGTCCGAAGGCCATCTTCCCATTTCCTGACCCAAATTCCGTTTCTCCGACATATTTCCCCGCAGTTCCGTGAGGCGAGGCTCCACTTTTTCCCCAAACTCAATAGATCGGACTTCACGGAAAAGGAGACTCTGGACTGCAAGAGTCCGGGGTAGTCCGGGGTTGCTAAGACTGCTAACGCCGGCCCCCAGCTTGCGTTCATCTTGGAGTACTTTTTCTATATCTACCCCGTGGGGTTGCCAAGGGTCTCACTATGTATCCTATAAGATGATCTCAAATCACGCTGTATATATTCATTTTATCTCAGATATCAACTCCTTCCATCATGACGGACAAAGACGCTGCAGTGATGCACCTGGAGCATCAAACAGGTCAGGGAATTTCTGCCGACGATGCGGAATTCTTGTCGAACTTTTCGGACGATGCAAAAAAGAAAGTCCTTAGGAAGGTGGGTGCAATTATAAGTGGTACAAAGAGGTTTACTGACAAAGTCTATAGGTTGACGTATGTGTTCATCCGATCTCGCTCCATTGACCGCGAAAACAATGACTGAGTCTCAATTCTAGATGCGGCTTGTTCCTATGCTTGCTCTCTTGTACTTGGTGGCATACATCGATAAGACAAACATTGGTATCTCAACTCACAAACCCTAGGTAGTGCATCTTCTCACTCTCACCAGGAAATGCGAAGATCGAGGGCCTTCTTCCAAGCCTACACATGGACGGTGTGCAATACAACATTGCCTTGTCCATATTTTTCATACCTTATGTCCTTGCCGGTACGCAAGTCCTATGTGAAACCTATGCATATCCACTGACATAGTTGAAGAGGTGCCGAGCAATGTAATCTTGAACCGGCTCAAGAGACCGTCGCAATATCTGGGATTTCTGATCTTCTGCTGGGGTGTGATCATCCTTTGTACGGGGTTTGTTCACAACTTTGCCAGTCTAGTGGTAATCCGCTTCCTACTAGGACTTTTCGAGTAATGCCTCCCCAGTCCGATTAGAGGTGTTTCCCTAATATTGATAATATTTCAGAGCTGGCTTTCTTCCAGGTGCCGTGCTTGTGATCTCAAAATGGTACCTCCCCAACGAGACACAGACCCGCATCGCCATCCTGTATACATCTGCCGCTTCTGGTGGTGCTTTCTCGGGTTTGCTGGCATTTGGCCTTGCTAAAATGAATGGTATTGCAGGCTATGAAGGCTGGCGCTGGGTTTGTTCTTTCTTATCTCATCCGCTTCGTTCCTAGCTTCTAACATTCATGCTAGATCTTTATAATAGAGGGACTTGCAACCGTTGTCATGGCCGTCGTTTCTTATTTCCTCCTTCTGGACTCGCCATCATTGTCTCCAAGCTGGCTCACTCCAGACGAGATCCGATATCTTGAAGTGCGGCAAGTAGCCTCCAATAATCACAGCGGTCACCACAAAGGCTTCGATAAGCAAATAATCTTCAGCGTTCTTTTAGATTGGAAGATCTATCTTCTCATATTTGCGAGCTGGTCCAATGCTGTTCCCAACTACGCACTCAAATTCAGCATGCCGGACATCATCAAATCCATGGGCTACGAATCAGCCAACGCCCAGCTCTTGACCATACCTCCATACGCCGTGGGCGCTGTATCAGCTTACGGCTTTTCCGTGGTCGCCGATCGGTTCTCATGGAGAATGCCCTTCATTGTGGCACCGCAGTGTTCACTTATAGTGGCATTCGGAATATTATTTTCCAAGGCTGCCGACATCGAGAATAACATAGCACTGTGCTACTTCGGCATTTGTCTCGCTTGTTTCGGAATGTATCCCATTCTCCCCGGTGTCAACGCTTGGAATGTCTGCAACATTCCAAATCCCCACAAGCGTGCTGTAGCCATTGGGTATCTAATATGCGTGGGTAATGTTGGTGGGATTATTGGGAGCTATATTTACAAAGCTGACGAGAAGCCGCGATATCCCACTGGTTATGGCACTTCACTTGCATTCGCTGCCGCTGGAATCATGGCTTGTTTGTCCTTGGAATTCTGTTTGTGGAGTGCGAACAAGAAGAAAGCTCTGATGACTGCGTCTGAAATTGAAGATAATTATACTGAAGATCAGCTCAGTGAGATGGAAGAGAGAAGCCCTATGTTCAAGTATAGCTTGTGAGATACTCCCATTATCATTTACAGATTTACAACAAAGCTCTGTGCGTAAAGTGATGACCGTGCCGCGTTAGCCCAACTGGCGAATAAGTATAGCGATGTTACTTTGGCCGCTACCTAAACCTTTGAAATCGCTACTACCCAGCTGGTCACTGCGATCTAAGTTAAATTCACTATAGAAGCATCCAGAAAATCCGGGAGTTCGGCGGCAAATAAACTGGTCAAATCTACACCCTCCGAGAATCTGCCGTCGATTGTGAAGAAATCCCCATCAGTCGGAAAGTAAAAGGGTTCGTTGGCGGCGCCACCGTGTAGTGGATCGTGCCCTGTTGCGAGAGATTCTTCGCCCTATCAACGTGTCAGCCGTTAGCAGTTTCTATTAGCTCAATATGAGACAAGATCTTGGCTTACAGAAGCTGGCAGCCCTGGATGTGCCATTGTTTCATTTTCGTCCGGTTGACGAGAGTATGCAGTACTGGAAAATACCGTAGGTTCTGCTGTAGCGCTATTGTTCAAGCCTGAGACATAATCGCGCGCAATATGGGCAAGTTCAGATAACAGGGAGGTCGGAAACCACCCACCCGAAGAAAGCTCGAGCCGGCAAAAGTACCCGGCTGCTATACCTAATAGGGAGATATTGGTGTTGGTCTCCGGGTGATGTGGGTTATGTATCACAAAGTCGAAGAGTATGAAAATAGCCGACAATGGGACTGAAAGAAGATACCTTTTTGAATCGTAAGCAGCGTCCTTAGATATTTGCAACATTGAAAAAAAAAATGTCCTTACCATATTGGCGTGTATGTTTCCACGTCGATGTACCTCGTAAGCTCGACAATCGAACGGGAGGCGTGCAAAAGTACTTGCTCACATGGGAGTTTGCCTGTATTTGTCTCCCTGCTTGCCACGCTGAGCTTGAGTCGAGCCAGAGCAATGACAGCGCTATAGTAGTGGTAACTCAACCTAATCTTCACCGCAACGGATAGGCTATTTAAACAGCCAGATTGTTGAAGGAGTGTTCCAGGTCGGAAATCTTCGCCTACAGACTCCTTCCAGCGCTCGAGTTCACCATTAAGAGAATCAATTAGGGTCATTATTGCGATGGAAGGTACCAAGGTTGCAGTTATGGAGAAAAGCGAATCGTTTGCTTTGGACAGCACTCGACTGAAGCAACACATGGCACGCAAGTAGTCAAAGCCGCCAAATACTGCTTCTGGGATCTGAGGGATTGGTGTGCCGATATTGCTGTCGACTAAGATCTGCTCCTGTTATTTAAATCATTCTTTGATGCCGAATAGGGAATGCATACGGAATCCCTGCCACAAGCAAAGGTCTGCGTCTTTTCTAATATATAGACCACCCAGAAGGCCCTTTGGCAGAGGTCCATCTCTCCTTCCGTGTAAATGGCTCGGTTGATACCAATCGACTGCGCAATTCTGGCGCCTTCCACGGTCAACGCCTTCTCGATCTGCACATAAGATGTATTGCGAGCAAAGATGGCCTGGTAGAGATCAGCATAAGTTGAAGAGTTTGAGTCTGGATGGTTCAATTACCATGGCCGTTATAGCCTAGTTCAAATTAGTGATAATAACTTGAAGCTGTGGATGAGAGCATACCTGGACATGAATCAAAGTCTCTTTAGAGGTTATTATCTCAGGAAAAAGCCCCCATGCGACTTGGAATAACTCCCAAGGAAGGGAACAGTTCCGTTGAAAGAACTCTCCACCTTGACGTTGGCAGCCAAGTGCCAACACTGTATGGTACAATGCCGAGAAAGGAGCGCTCTCTTTGCATAACTGAGAACATCTGATATCGAGGACCTTTTGCTCGAATTCTTGTCTTTGGAGAAAGGGATACATTGGATGAACTTCTTCAAAATACGCTGGTGAAATATGGCGTTAGCGTCAAGTGTGAAACAACGTCAACGAGAGACGAACTAGTAATATATCGCTTCACTTCTTCTACCTCAATAGGATAGCTTGCCGGCGGATTGCTTGAGCTCGTCAATGCGCCTTTAGATCGTACCTCCCAATTCATCCGAGCATTGACGGAATCATTGAGCTTAGTAAAGATGGCCTGAAACTTTGCGTGGCCCAGACGTTCAGAAATGGACGCGATTCTCTTATCTGAGAAAAAAGCGATATTTGAACTCCCAACTGCGAGTTGTCAAACAACTGATACATCAAATTTAGCATTTAAATGTCAACTTACCGTGATTGTCATGAGCCTAGCCATTGAAGTGTTAATATCTTGATTCTCATAGGGGTGATAGGCGCGAACCTTTAATATGGAACCCTCATTCCGGCGCCTTCCAGTTTCTGTTCCACTTTCCAGAAGATAATCTACAAATAGTTTTCCCGGTGTAACCGAGGCAGTTGTATGCACACTGGAGGGCAAGGTTTGAATGCTAGTCTTTGTGGGAAACGGCTGGGGGGCTAGGGATATAGAACATGAAGTCCCAACTAACAATGAGACATGAGACTAGTTTTCCAATATTTTCAAGGTGAGGTACTGACCATTCAATGCGCTCACGGCATCTGACCAAGCATCAGAAATGTGTGCCCCTGATAGCTTTGCTCTCTTCTTCTTTGGCCTAAAATGACAGGGGATATTGCGCTTCTGGGAGTGGTTTAAGCGTGATGAATACAACACTGGTTGTCACTGTGAGTCTCACTTTGCAATTGTTGCAAGCGAATGCTCCACCTGCCAGTGCTGTGACAGTGTCAGTATGGATGCTTCGCGGGAAGACCGATGATGCCTACTTTCACATTTTATCTTGCGGACTTTACATTCGTTGCAAGACTTTGAAATTTTGGGTTCTTCCATTGCACTTTCCAGTTCCCTTTCGTTGAGCAATATACTGCAATCTGATGTGACAACCCTTCGGGCATGGAGTTGCCCCAGCCAACCTCCAATGGATGCCTGGGGAACTTCATTTATGACATAAGCAGCTTCTTTGCTGACATAAAAGTAATGTCACCTCGATTCAGTGAGATTCTGTAAGCACCGCACAGTTTCTGTTGGATAGCACTACCATTATATTAATGTTGATGCATGTTTTTCTTTGTTACACCCCCTCCACGAGATTCAAGAGTTTCTACAATGCCAAACCCGCAAATAGGTCAGAGGGGTATTGGTTTTGTGGACCTTAGTGATGTCTAGTCAAGACGTGGAAACTAGACATCAGTCTGTACAAGAATATACCGCAAGTGGAAGATCTAGCTACCGCAGGTCTACTTGGGGATGGTCGAATACATTTAGGCTGGGTTTTTGACAGGATGACAATCCCCAAAGAGCAGATCGCATGCTAAAAACTTCATATGAATTACTCACCCTCGGCGTCTTGTTATTTTCTTAGCTTGGTAGGTTACTTGATTTTCACATTACTTATCGAAGGCTATAGCGAGCTCGAAGCCCATCCCATTCGGAAATTCGGAATTGAACGACATGATTGCAGTGATTTAAGTTCATCCGGCGTTTCAAGGGCCCGGGCCGCCGACGTTGGGACGCCGACGTTGGGACCTCGCCTTCAAAGTTAGTCAGCATACAAGCTAGGTACCTAGTTACGTATGGTCCGAAAATGAAATACATACTAAAATTCTTAAAAAGCCCCTAAACCTCCTAACTCTAGCATGTCCCTAGATAATTTCTAATATATTGAAAGGTCATATTTTGGGGCATATGATATGAATTTCGTCCCCATTAACTAGGAAGCAAACTCCGAAACCCTCAGTTCTTGGAATATGAATGACACCTAGATTGAGTAAAATTAGCATTCGGTGCACATACCAACCATTCTTGGTTCTATCAATAAATAAAAACCTTGGACAAAAGGTCAACTCTATGCAACACTAATTTCTAAAGATATAAATCAAGGAACTACTTAGTACTAACCCCCTCCTTCCGGTTATAACATTGGTTTTTGTAGTCGACATCAAAATTGCTCTTCCTCAATATCATAGGCCAGAGGTCCTTGGCCTATTCCAAATTTATCCAGGCCAACCTTTTCAAACACCCACAGCCCTGATGAAATAGCGAGCTCATTGACCCGGAGACGCAAAGAGGTCTTCTTTTTGCGGATGTCGCCATTTCGCTCTGCGGTCTTGAGCATCTGTTCTGTTCTGGTCTTTCGTTTATACTCATATGCTTGGAGAATTTCTCCGAGGTCTTTGTAGTCCTGGGTGAGAACCTTCGAGAACAAAAAGACGTCTTCCAGTGCCATAGAAACGCCTTGGCTGGCATGAGGAGGCATCGCATGCGCGGCGTCACCAATGATAAGGCATCGCCCCTTAGACCATGGCCTGCCTGTGGGGATCTTGAAGATAGGGTAGAACTTCATCACGTCTGTCTTGCGCACGACCTCTTTCAAGGAGTTGACCCACTCTGAATTGGCGTCTCCCAAAAGGTCGAGGAATGTTGACTTCATGTTGTCAACCTCATCCTTTCCGCGCTGCTCCCATCCATCGCGAGTATCCCCCGTTGTAGGGATGGCAATCTCGCGCGAGAAGAACCAATAAACCATATCACGAGCAGTTGTAGTAGGACTGATCCCGAACATCCCGTCCGATGTCAACGTCGCGTGAAGGGCGTCCAGCGACGAAGCAGCAGGGGGAAGTTTAGATGTTGGAACCAGAGAGAAGACGTTTGAGATTCCGGAGTACTGTGGCGTACAGTCAGGGTCCACATATAGCTTGCGTACGGCGGAGTGAATGCCATCACAGCCTAGGAGGAAGTCTCCGGTGTCGCTTGTGCCATCCGAGAAGAACACGGTGACTTGATCGTTCTTTTCTTCTATTTTGGTGAGACGCTTGTTGAAATAGACGGGTATTTCTGCTTTGTTGGCGGCACCGAGGAACACATCCATCAAGTCTGTTCTACGAATCCTCAAGTACCCAAACCCAGTCTGCTGCCTGCTCCAGGATGCCATGTCCAAATGGCCCATATTGTCGCCTTTGAGAGAATGAAAATTGAGCATCGATGTCTCCGACCCTTTGGCCATCATCGAATCACTGAGTCCCATACGCTGCAGTAGCCTTAGGCCATTGGATGGAATGCCTATAGCTCCTCCGAGTGTGGTTGGCTCGCTGCGAACCTCGTAGACAGCACACGAGATTTGATTCTTCTGTTTTAGATGCAAGGCTGCGGCCACTCCCGCCGGACCCCCACCAATGATAATTACCTACAATGTAAGACATATCAGTTTCCGCTCATTTCAAGTGTATCTTAGCAACTGAATGTACCTTTTGGATGCTCTTCATTCCGGCTGTGAATAACATTCGATATTCCTGCACATAAAATTCAAGGCATAGAAATCCTGCAAGTTGCAAGAGAGTACTATATGAAAGATAATGAAATGCGCATACCTAGGTAGTACTTTCATATTCCGGCGTTCCGGAGTTTCGGGTTTTTGTCTCGGCCAAAGTGGGCATTCCATCCACGGTGTATTCGCTCTGTTACTTGCGAAACTCCGGACCTCGGTACTGATCACCTTCGTCCGTATTGGGGTCCTGATCGCCATGAACGTGATAAGTTAAAGAGAACCCTACTAAACTCTTTGCATTACTGTAGGGTAAAAAGTGATTTTGGAAGACCTATAGAAGACTCTTAAGTGTTGACTAGTCCCTTTCTCTATACTCCGTACTTCGTGTCCTTTGTTGAATGCGCTCGTTTATTAAAGAACTGGTTGGTAAATATTTAATATTTATATCTTCCCTCTTTTTATCTCAGATACAATAAAAGGTCCTGCGCCTTGCTGGTTAAATTCAAAATCATAAAGCTTACTGTGCGGATCATCGCCTCTTAACAAATGATCAGCTCTCCACATGCGTACCCAAATCCACTATAAAACTACGGTAGCCCCATATTCTTCGGAGAATTTTTGCAAATATTATAAAATCAGGTAACATATAGATTGTTCTAGTTCACGTTTAAGCTTTAAACTGCACAGTCCTATCCGGCACCAGACAACCAGTTGCCCGGCTATCTCGGTCCGTCGTATCCAATTTGCTGCCAAGACCAGAGATCTTCCTCAACTCGTGGGGATTAGTTTCATATTAGAAAACCCTTCATGGGGATGTCTCGGTTGGAAATTAACCCGAAGGGTCATGGGCCCCAGACACCAACCGCGAAGATCCTTTCCCAACACCCGGGCTAATAGGTACGCATCCATCTTTAAGAGGCAAGAGCAGCGATGGACCATTAAGCTGTTGGTATTATCCAGTCCGGAGTCCGAACCAAAAGATGGTGGCATGATAATAGACAGGAGCAGTGTATACTCTATACGGAACGTCGGCCCACAATTCCAGGCGAAGCTTTTCATCGAAAGAGATTGTGATTGACAAGAAGTGACCGGTATATAAGTGATTGACAGCCCACGACCCTAAAACACATTTCATTCCATTTCTTAACATCAACAACCTGCACTACTATTCTCTTTCTTTTAGCCGATTAGCTCCTGATCAAAATGAAGTGCTTCGCTCCTATATCCATTTTCTCCCTGGCGCTGGCCGCCGTAGGCAATGCCGCAAGCGCCTCTTCCTCCCAGGCCCTCACCAAGCGCGCCGACTTCTGTGACCAGTACGGTACTGTCGAGCAGGGCAGCTACAAAGTGTACAACAATATCTGGGGCCAGCAGTACGACCAAGGAGGCAAACAGTGCACCGGCATCGACTCCCTAGCCGGCAACACAATCGCCTGGCACACCTCATGGTCGTGGGGCGGCGCCTCGACCCAGGTCAAGAGCTACCCTAGTGTCGGTCTCAATTTCACTGCCAAGCAGCTGAGCACCGTCAGCAGCATCAAGTCCAGCTGGAAGTGGAGGTATGTGAAGCATACACCATAGTCTTGGAGCTAAACTAACCGAATATTCTCACTTAGCTACTCTAATACCGACGTGGTTGCTGACGTCGCCTATGACATGTTCCTCAGCTCCACTGCCGACGGAAGCGAGGAGTATGAGATCATGGTCTGGCTCGCTGCTCTAGGTAATGCCGGCCCGATCTCCTCCACCGGCTCTTCCATTGGCTCTGTCACCATCAACGGAATCCCATTCAAGGTTTGGTCTGGGCCCAACGGCAAGATGACCGTTTACAACTTCGTTGCCGAGTCTACCGTGAATAACTTCTCTGGTGATATGCTCGAGTACTTCACCTACCTTATCAAGAACCAGGGCCCCAGCTCCAGCTTGTACCTGATAGATGTTCAGGCTGGTACTGAGCCCTTCACTGGCAAGGCTGACATGAAGACCTCTGCATTCTCCGTTGAGGTTGTTTAAGTGGAATCCAAGAGCACACATTGGGGTATTTGGGTTTAAGAAGACCGTTTGCGTAATGGGCTTCACTCAGATAGCTGTTTTTCCTATATCCTAACAGTCCCGGGATTAGGCTTGGCACTTCTGGCAATACATTCTTTATATCCTCCACTAGTCCTTGTGCCTTACCTGGTTGATAGGCCCTCACATGAATACCGCCGTACAAGCTACTTCTATAGAAAAGAGCTTATAGCTTAGATAGTACGACCGACAGTTATATCATCTTTGTAGAATACTTCCATCTGTACCATTTCAAAAGAGACGAGGAATCCTATATGAAGACTCAACTAGCATGGAATATTTGGTTAGGATGTTGGATCCGGGGTTGAGGAGCAAATAATATACAAAGGAAATGCTACAAAATCTCGCTAGACCAAAATGGTACTCTGAATCAATAGAAACACACCCAGCAATGATATCCTCCGTATAGTTTTCTGTATATTTGGTGGCGAGGGCAGCCCAATCGTTCATAGGAAGGCTTAGATCCACCGGAAACGACACATAAAACCTCTGCCGATGGTGCACGGCAATACCTTTAGTCATTTCAAACAATTCGTTTTGAAGACGTTGACTCACGATATCCATCAAGCCCTCATCGGAGAGCTCGACTTCATGGGCTAGAAATTCTACTGACACCCACCAGGTATATCCGGTAGAGGAGGTGTGACTCTCAAAGATAGGTAGGCCATCTTAGGTGAATATTACATGAGTAGAAGACATGGCTTTTATGATAGTAAGGAAGTCTAGGGGTCAGGTTTCTAGGTTATCTGAATAGAGCAATATAATTTCATAGGGGTTGTTACAATAATTTTATAAATTAGTTTATTCTTTGCTATTCGTTCAAACAATGATTTAAACCTGGTCTATAGGATCTTCCAGTCTTCACCGGTTTTACTATAACGGACTTGTTACAAAAACTGTGTGTCAGGCTTTCAATGCCAACGGCCTCTTGGTAAAGGTGTTTGATTAAATTGATATTTATTGAATACACAAAGCCTTTATATTAGTTGTTGCAGAACAAAGAGCACATGAAAGAAGAACATCTGAATCGTAATCACCGCTTATCGCTTATATATAAAAGAGGACTAATCCTATTGTAGGATTGATCAACCGCTGTCGGACTCATTAACTGTGCTCACCATGGAAAAAAGGTCAGCCACAGATGTCTTCATGAGCATCTTACCCGAAGACGCACTGGAGATTGGAGGCAGTAGGAAAACCACTGTATCTCGTAGCTATCCCCTCCCAGCCACCGTTCGTCGCATTTGGTTCTACACCACCTCTCCGTTACAATATATTGAGTATGTGGTGTGTATATCATACAATGAGGCCGAATCCAACATAAGCAACAAGAAAGCCACATATAGCTATAACCTTCGCCAGGTATGGATGTTGAAGCAGCCTATTTACCTGCATCAGGCTATTATTGAGCGCGGTATACTGAAATATCCTCCGAGAAGGTACTGTTGGGCGACCGAGAGTTTCTTAAAAGGCTGTCCTTTCTATGAACAATATCCAGTGAGTAGTCCGAAGGAAATCATATGGTAAAGAGGACAATACAGCAATTCCTTACTTTGTCGGATTCAGAGAGTGAACAATGTACGAAGTACTCTTATTACCAAACACCAAATGACGTATGAAAGTAAGCCAGCCGTTTGACTCAGCCCCCTCAGTTCTTTCTGACTAGATTATTGTAGAAATATAGATCGTCAATATCTGTGTCCAATAGAATCAAATGTCAAATACGGGTATTACCAAGGTATACCCCAATCATCATGTGAATGTATAACGTCTAGTTATCATTACCGCACAGATTGTTGAAATAGCCCATTTTCATCATTTTAGAGTTCTCAACATCGGTCACCTATCCATACATTGTTGATATACCAGGTTTCTGTCAGTCCTCAACATCGGTCATCCATACCATACACTGTTCGTACCACAGATTTCTGTCATAAGATATGTCACATACTATGTCACATAGTGGATCTACCCGTGGCCCGAATTAGTTCCGACCACGCCTATTGGTCTGATTATTGATCATTCAATGAATTCATCCGGCTCGCAGGTTGATCAATGATCACCTTGGGGTTTCCCTCCGATTTAGGCAGTTGGGTAGGTGTTTGAAAGGCCCGGCTATCTATTATTGGTTAGTTCGGAGGATTTCAGGGGCGCAGCAAGAAGTAGGCCCGTTTATATATAAATTGCGGTCCAGCATATCAATCAATGCATCTATCATTTTTTTAAACCTCTCATGACCAGACTGGCAAAGACAACATGGACCAAAAACCATTTAAAGTCGTCATTGTGGGTGGCAGCATTGCGGGGCTTTCGCTAGCCTTGATGCTGGAAAGAAATGGCATCGATTTCGTTATCCTCGAAGCATACGGCAGCATTGCACCCCAGGTCGGGGCTAGTTTTGGCGTTTTACCCAACGGCTTACGCATCCTCGACCAGCTGGGTTGTTATGAGTCAGTTCTAAAGATGGCGGAATACCCTGTCGACACACTTCAATTCCGTGATTCCCAAGGACAAGTATTCTGGACATTCGATAATTTCGAAGGGACGTCAATCGGAAGGTCTGTCGCCATTCGATTTTATATGCCAATATTGAAGTAGCAGAACCAACTGACAGTACCTTCAGTCATGGTTATCCTGTCGTATTCCTCGATCGCCGGATGTTGATAGAAATCCTCTATGAAAAGATCCAGGATAAGTCAAAAGTGATCACCTCTCAGCGGGTGCAGAGTATTGAGAATGGTACTTCGAGTGCCACAGTTACCACAACGACTGGTGAAACCTACATCGGAAATATCGTGGTCGGAGCAGATGGGATCCATTCCAAAGTGCGTCAAGAAATGTGGAAAGCGGCCGAAAAGATAGATCCCACGTGGGTTGATCCCACAGAGAGATCTGGTATGAAACTTCAACCTAAAGACTTGAAAATTATCAGCTAACTCTTGTGAAAGCACTACCTGCAACTTACGCATGCCTCTTCGGCATTTCCAAAGGTGTAAAGGGAATCGAGAAAGGCACTTTGAGCTCGGTGTTCAATGAGCATTACTCGTATCTTGTTCCCAGCGGACCCGGAGACCTCACTTACTGGTTTCTCGTGCGGAATATGGGAAAGACGTACTATGGTGCAGATATCCCTCGGTTCACCAAGGAGGAGGAGGAAGCATTTGCAGCAGAACATTTCGACGACCAGATCACTCCTACACTGAAGTTTGCCGATCTGTACAAGAGTAAAATTGCCTCGGCATACTCCAGCTTGCCAGAATACGTTTATAAAAGATGGCATTTCCAGAGAATTATTACTACTGGCGATGCCACTCACAAGGTGAGACCACCTGCCAACCCGAGAACAAGATCATGCGAAGACTGACCAATGTTCTGTCCAATAGTTTGAACCTTTGACAGGCCAGGGAGGCAATAATGCAATGGAAACCGCTGCATCCCTTACGAATCATCTAGTTGCGGCCCTCAGAAACTGCCAGTCAGGCACGCTGTCGTCGGCAGACATTTCCAAAGTCTTTGAGAGCGTTCAACAGCAGCGTGAAAAACGTGCGTGGGCCTTGGTCAAAGCATCCCATGCTCGGCAACGTCTCGAGTGCCAGGAAACGCCCTTGTTGAAGTTCATAGGAAGGTACGTGGTGCCACGCTTTCCGAAATCCGTTCACCTCGGCAAATGGGTCAACACGTATGCTCCCGCAGTGTCCTTAGACATGCTTCAGCTACCACACAAGCCTCGAGAAATTGCATATTTCGATGAGCGCTTTAGAACACCGTCATCTCGGGGTGTGGTAAGCATCTTGTTGTACGCTGCATACTTCCTCTTGGCCTGGTTAGGATATCGCCAGTTGTCGACAGCACTCAGAGCGAATGGAACAATGGGCTTGGTCCGTCAGGCAATCAAGGGCCAGTCGGTTCCACTCCCAGGAGGAGTTGAAGCTCCCCTTCGCCAGGTGTACACAGGGCTTGGAGCTGTTGACCTCATTTTGAATGTCATCGTAACGATATTCCTGCCTGCGGTCGCCAACTTCTCTACACCGGAGCAGCCATTGCAAGTTCTGTATTTTCTGGCTTCAATGATGCCGATTATCGCTATCTGGACTGTTGAAGGGTTCAGACCAAGGAACAAATGGACTCTTCTTGCAGCTCCGAGTTTGTGGGCAGTTCTGTATCAGTTGCGTGGAATTGGGCTGATTGCACCGCTCTATTACGCAGCGAGCACCTATATTTCCTCTGGAATAGTATACTTCTCCCCAAGTACCCGCACGCTTCCTGAGTCCACCGCTCGAGCGTTACTGCCTGCGATGATATTGGGATTCGCCGTGCCCACAATCATGCTGTTCTTCCCATTGGCTGATAGCCTGATCACGCGACAAATCTTCATTGCGCTGTGGCAGCCCGCTCCGATATATGTGGTTATCTTGACTCAGATATTCTCCCGCATCATCAAATCGATCGGTTCGAGCACACTTGCCAAGACCAATACCGCTGCCACGGAGAGCAGATCTGACGGTGACATCCCACACTTGAAAACCCTCTACACTGTGGTCGGCGGTGTATCTGCTTGTTTCCATGTGGCCTTGTTGCTGAGCTGGGCTGCTTTGGGGACAAACTTTGTCACTAGGGCATTCATCCCATCGGCCGCCTTCGCACAGGTGACGACAATTGCAGACGGTGTCTTCATATTTTTCCAGAATGACTTCCTGCTTGTTGCAGCGGCATCTCTCCTGTGGTGCTTAGCTAGCGTGTGGGATCTGTACCGCCTTGGGGTTTCTAATGTCTCCTGGCAGGTGACACTGGCTAGTTTGATTCTAGGCTCCGTGGTAATCGGACCAGGTGCAACTATAGCAGCTGTGTGGTATTGGCGGGAGGAGGCTATGAGTCAGACATCTTTCCGTCGTCATGGTCCGGGTCTTTAGCTCAATCGAGAGTACTTGGTGCCACAATGTTGGCGTCGAAGGGATGTAGGATCAGCGAAGAGAGGCCATAGCAAACTGCTAAGGCTTGGGTAAAACAGGGCGAGATAGCTAGTTCTGAACGAGATTGTGTCTGATTCATCGGGCTTTTGTGTGTGGATATAAATTAAATGGGGTATTGTGATGCTCCGCATGTTGAAAGACATAAATGCACACCAGGCTACACTGGAGAGCCAGTAACTCCAACTGAGATCCACCTGACATTGTGGGATACTACCCTCTCGATATCAGATCGGCGAAAACCAGCCACACAGCCCAGAGAGACTGGAAGCTGGCTCAGTCCTGGCTATGTTAGCTCTTATCATTATATTCTGCATCGGAAATAAGAGCAAATAATAGTGTAAGCGTACGGTTGATCAACTTATACTCGTCGATGACCATCATCATACCATCCGGTAATTGGCCATGGGGGGCCTCTAAGTTCGAAGGCCTAGCGCCTGAACTAGAGGAATAAGATATCATAAGGGTGGACGAAGGAAACTCGCCTACGCCGATTCCTCGGTTGAGCAGGTATCTCTCGACATCATGCACATCAAACCAGTCTTCGTCTGCAGGAAGATAAGTCACGCCATTTGTTGTTTGGAAGTGGGCGAAGCTATCTGAAAAGTCGTCACTAGAAGGTTGTAAAAAGTGTGTTCCTGCACCACCGAGGCTGATATATGGAAATCGAGCATCGATGATAGGATGGCAAGGTTCCGCGTTGACGACGCGTGCGAAATAATCTCGGATCTCTGCTCGTGGCATTCTTTGTAGCAGTAATCCAAACTCCCACATATCTTCATCTTTATATGAGGGATTTGACAGAAACCGATGGCCACTTTCAGCGCAAGCGCGATAAAGTCGTTGGGTGAAGGGTGTGGTTGCATATTGGATGGTGTGTGTTTCAGTAATAGATGGTGCCACAGGAATGGGAACCAAATCATTCGATTGGTTACCCAGGGCCTGCATATTAGTCGATGGAATTATGGCAGCCGACGAACCCAAAAACAATTTCCAGAAGTCAGACTCCAAAGTGTGGTCTTTTAATCTGCCCATTGGCACCTCGGATGCGACCTGCGCATGGGGTTTCTTGACGACAGCTTGTAATGGTTCTAGAGATTGCTTATTTGGGGACTCCTGAAAGCGAATATCGGCTTGCTTTAAATGGGACACTATATCATCCCGCAACAACTCAACTGTCCGGAAAAGTTCAGGTTGAGACAACTGCGACCCATTCCGGATCACCTGGAAATCGAATGTGTGCATGGTCTGGCTCAAATGGTTAAACACATCTTCCAATTGCTCTACGCGAGCTTTCAGCGAAGAGAGCTGGGACTGTTGGCGAGATCGATATGCCTGTTGCGCTTCGCGGACCTGGGCGCGTCGCGTCTGTGCCAGGGTGAGACCAAGTTATTATCTTTAGTTGCAGGAAGGGGCCTCACGGATTTGGCATCTTCAGCTGGTTTTCGGGGTCGCCCAAGAGAGCTTTTTTTTACTTGCACTGTGGGCATTGCAGTCCAATTTGAGGATATGGAGGTTCACCAGTCAACCTCAGGAGAAAGATTCCTGGTTTCCACATGTCAGAAATGCCAAGCCCGCATTCCCGGAAGTACTTGGCCTGATGTTTGAACTTCATTAGTATTTTACGTAGGGATTCTTGATGGTTTTATATGTATATATAGCTCTCTGCTCTCTTTTGGCTTTTCGTTTTTTTTTTACTATCAAATAGGACATGATTTAGAAGTAAAAACATGTGTTGGTATATATCTACGGATCCTCTGTTGTACTCAGTCGAAATGGCACATAGTATAAAGTATACATTTACCACTGTCTCACCTATTATATTTCCTAGACCTAATAATATCCTAGGAATATCCCAACTTGGGAAGATAATCGTGTCAGCTTACGGAGTACATGTACACCGCCACATTCACCACGTTCCCATCGTGGCTGGGGGTAGCGGGGCCCTTCATCGGATTTAAAACATTCACACCCCGCTCTGCAGGCATCTTTGTTTCTGAACTTTTCTGGCTTTCTTTCGTTCCATTCAACGTTCTTTGCTGTGTTTTATCTACAAAACTACTCTGGACCGTCAGAATGTCTAAGCAGGATGATCTGGCCTATGGTGGTTACTACCAGGGTGCGGAACGTGGTTCCGGAGACGGATCCCGCGGTCTAGGCGATACCTTCAAGAAGCTTCGCGACACCTACAAGACCCACGGATCCTCACAGGGCCAGGCGAACCAGACATACAACCCAAGTGGTTATCAGGGCGTAGGCTTTACCATCTCTCAGCCTCCACATTCACTAACCGGTTCGCTACAGCAGAGTTACCCGACCCAGACCGAACCGCAATACACCCAAAACACAAGCGGGCAGCAGCAAAACCCGAACTATCACGGAAAGCCTCAAAAGGAAGACAAACTGTCCGGTTTCTTGGGAAAACTACAAGGTACTGTGACCGAGCTTGGTTCCGAATTTGCCCAGAAGATTGGTACCACCATCGATCCACAGGCGTATGCCGAGTATGGTCCCACCAAGCCCAACACAGAGCATCGATTTGGTAGCTTCGCTCCTCCCCGGGAACATAACGATGCCAAGTGGTATGTGGACGGATGTAGCTATTTCTGGGCTGTGTCGCGAGCCCTGGAAAATGCCCGAGAGTCGGTTTGGATTCTGGACTGTGAGTTTTAATCTTCCCCGGATTTTCATTGTATGCGGCTAACTTGACGTAGGGTGGTTATCTCCCGAACTTTATTTGAGAAGGCCACCGGCGAAGAATGAACAGTACCGATTGGATCGCATGCTGCAAGCTGCAGCCCAGCGGGGCGTGCGCGTCAATGTCATCGTTTATAAGGAGGTTACGCAGGCGCTCACTCGTATGTCTACAATCCTTAAACATTGAAAGGAACTCAATTAACATTCCCTGCAGTCTCTTCGTCTCACACCAAACATGCCCTAGAAAATTTGCACCCCAATATCGCTGTCTTCCGTCACCCTGACCACCTACCTGATCGCCAAGAGATGGCAGCTTCCATTGCGTCGACCTTCCAGAATATGTCACTTGACTCAGCAAGTTTGAGTAAGATGTCAAAGGATACACTGAAGGGACTGTACGGAATGAACGATGATGTCATTCTGTATTGGGCTCATCACGAGAAACTTTGTTTGATCGATGGTCGGGTTGCATTCATGGGTGGTTTGGACATGTGCTTCGGTCGCTGGGACACAAACCAACACGAGCTATCGGATCTACATCCCTCGGATGTGAGCCAAACCCTGTTCCCTGGCCAGGACTACAATAATTCTCGCGTCCTTGATTTCCAAGATGTCGTTCACTGGGAGAATAACCAGCTGGATAGAAAGACCATGTCTCGGATGGGATGGTCTGATATATCCGTGAGCTTGCACGGTGCAGCCGTGGAAGATTTGCGGCGTCACTTTGTGGAGCGATGGAACTTCATCTATGATTTGAAATACAAGGTTCGCAGTGATACTAGATACGCGAGACTGGCACTCCATGGAAGGCCCGCTTCCTCGACTGGCCCCTCGACTGGCCAACAGCAGGCCAGTTCTCCGCAGCCCAACCTGTACCCGTCGGGACAGGCAAGCCCACAGGGTCAGCCACCTGCGCCATCCTGGCAGCAGAAGCCTAGTGGAGTCACATCGCCTACCTACCCGCCGCCACCAGGTCAGACATCGAGTCCGTCGCAGCCACAGTCCCAGCCTCAGCATCAACAATCTGCCGAAGCATATCAGCCTTACAGCAGTGCCAGCGCTTCAAATTATCCACCACCGTCGGCTCAGACCTCAAACCAGCAACAATATCAACAGCAGAACACGCCTACCTCGTACCAACCTGGGAATACTTCAACCTATCCCCCACCGCCAAGCCAAAGCCCTCTAGGCTCTCAATCTCAGTCAGCTCAGTCCCTGAGTCATGATACAAGCCAGTATAGCTACACTGGAAGCTCATTCCCTCCTCCTCCGCCTGGGCCCCCTCCAGCGCAGTCCACTGCCAACACCTCGTATCAGCCATATCAACCGGCCCAGCAACAGGAGCAGAAACCCTACTTCCCGCCCCCACCAGGCCAGGAAACATCCCACTCCAATACCCGGGGGGTTAATGACTACCAGCATGAAGGGGATCGCGAGCGAGGTTCTTTGGCGCCCCGTCGCTTCCGAGAGGACCTGACGCAATATGGCAGTTCCCTTCGTGGTCAGCTCGCGGGACAAATTCACCAATACCAGGATCGACTGACCACATATGGCCGCCCTTCTTCCTCGCAAAGCCGAGGGAATATGTCATGCCAGATTGTACGCAGCTGTGCGAAATGGAGCAACGGCAGCCCGCTTGAGCATTCAATTGCCGACGCATATTGTGCCATCATCCGAAACAGTGAGCACTTTGTCTACATCGAAAACCAGTTCTTTATCACTGCGACCGGTGATTCGCAGCGTCCAGTGAAAAATCAGATTGGTGCCGCAATCGTGGAGAGGATTTTACGTGCTGCCCGTGCTGGTCAGAAATATAAGATTATCGTGGTAATTCCATCCGTTCCCTGCTTTGCCGGTGATTTGCGAGACGATGAGACACTCGGAACACGCGCCATTATGGAGTTCCAGTACAACTCCATCAACCGCGGAGGTCACAGTATCATGGAGATGATTGCCAAGGAAGGCTTTAATCCCATGGAGTACATCCGTTTCTACAACCTTCGCAATTATGATCGGATTAACAACGGTAGTATGATGGCTGCAGCTGAACAGCAGAGTGGTGTCAACTACGAGGATGCCCGCAGGCAGTACGATATGAATACTGCAGGCCCTGGTGGATACGCTCCGAGCACTACCCGTAGTGCTTTTGACACGTCTGCACCGTTCGAGAAGTACCAGCAGGCTGCACACCAGGTACAGGGCGGCCATGCTTCCTCGAACCGGTGGGACAGTGTCAGCGAGTGTTACATGCTTGGCGGAGAGGATATTCGCAAAGTGCCGTGGGATGGACATCCCGATGCTGAAATTAATGCGTTTGTGAGCGAAGAGCTTTATGTTCACTCCAAGGTTCGTTTCCTCCCAAAGTCAATAATGATCCAGCCCTCTAACAAAAGCATTAGGTGATGATCGCCGACGATCGTGTGGTTGTTTGCGGATCCGCAAATCTGAACGACCGTTCTCAACTGGGTGACCATGACTCTGAGATCGCAGTCATTATTGAGGATTTCACACCCGTGGCATCCAGCATGAATGGCAAGCCATGGACAGCCAGTCGTTTTGCTTCATCTCTCCGCCGCCAGCTGTTCCGGAAGCACCTGGGTCTTTTGCCACCGCAAGACTATCAACGACCGGATGCGAACTTCGAGCCCGTGGGGGTTCCCAACCAATTCGACTTTGACTGTCCTGAGAGCAAGGTTGTTGCTGATCCCCTTTCCGACACTGCCCAGAGTCTTTGGAACTCGCGGGCACACACAAACAGCGAGGTCTTCCGGAAGGTATTCCACGCCGTTCCGGACGATTCAGTCCGCAACTGGGCTGAGTACAAGGAGTTCTATGAGTACTATTTCCACAAGACCGAGAAGAGGGCCGGTGAAGGCATGGAAGGATCGGTACGTCCGGCACGATTCCAATGGGGCCACGTTGTGAGCGATGACTTTGCGCCTGGCGCAGAGGGGGCGAAACAGGTCAAAGAGCTTCTCAGCCAAGTTAAGGGTACTCTGGTTGAGATGCCTTTGATGTTCTTGATTGAGGAGGATATCGCCAAGGAGGGATTGACTTTGAATGACTTGACCGAGCCACTCTACACCTGAGGGGGAGATTGCATTTGCCAAGTTGGGACTGTTATTATTGATCATCTTGTTTATTTCTGAACTCGAGCATTTCTATTAGCTAAATCTTTGTACATCAGCGAAGTATATGTTCTTTGTTTTGGTAGCGATGCTATTCGGGGAGCACTACTCTCTTTCATGTCCCCGAGGGAGAATGACACCGATGCTCAACACTGTGCAATCAAACCTATGATCTGAAAATTGTCTGATGCCAAGCCTGGGATTATATTGTTCTTGAAGAACAATACTAAGTGGAATGTGATTGTAGCGAGTGGTCAATCTCAGTGTCCTTTGTTCGCGACGCCATCCCCATTGGGCGAAATCAAACACATACTCCGAAATGTTCTTTTACCCTTTGAGACCCCGACTTAATATTGTTCTTGCTCTCATGAAAGACTCATGAATGTGCTAACTACACGTGCCTAGAACAGGGTGCTCCTCGGCCATCTCTATGTCGTTCCTTCATGAAAGACAACCCCGGCCTAACCACTCATCCCTCGGAGGATATGTGATGCAGTCAATATCAACGTCCCTCGATCGATGCACTGACTGCATATCAAAACAAAGAGAAAATTCCCGAGGCAACAACTCCTGCATTCATGAACCCGAGAACAATATCAAACGGCTCCGCAATGGACATCAACCGCAATCCCAATCCCATGCATTCTTGATTGATTCTACGCCTTCGCCAATGCCCAGCGCATTCAAGCCAGCAATTCAATGTGACCTTTCCATTGACTTCCATTCCCCAGGTGTGATATCGATCATATTGATAGTCCGAAAAATAGTCCCTCTCGAATATAAATACCAGCTTGCACATCGAGTTTCAATTATTTTCTCCACCACCCGCTCACACTTCGATCATTCAAAACAATCTTTCAATCCTTTCAAGCTCCCGCCTTTTAAGCTCTTCTCAGTCGAAATGTCTCGCGCTCAGGTCCAGAAGCAATGTGAGTACCTTGCCTCCAAAGCATATACACTGCTTCATCATATCTCTTATACATCCATATACTAACATGTCATCTATCATCTCTAATAGCTCCTGGCGGCGGCTGCGTCATCATGAAATCCCCCGGTGGTGGCTGTGTTGTCATGAAGTCTCCCATTCCCAACGGCTGCGTCGTCACTCGTACCCCCGGAGCCGGCTGCGACATCATGAAGCGGTCTCCCGGCGGTGGCTGTGTCGTCATGAAGTCTCCCGGTGGCGGCTGCGTCGTCATGAACCGTGAGCAACAACTGCTCTCCGAATAAAGATTGATATACTAACATGTCTCCATGCATAGCCGCTGACTTTTAAACGCCCTCCATGAGCGCGCTCAATTCCAACATTCCATCAACCACCATGGCTTGACCTGTGTTGTTGGTCAACATGACATTGAAATGCGTTAATTCTACGATCTTCGCCGCGGACTCTTGAGAGAACACTTTCAACTTTTCAACCAAAAATATCAATCCTTCGAAACATGACCTCTCAGCTTTGCTTTTGCTTTTGTGAAGACTCTTCATGAGTCTGTTTGTCCAGTTCATTCTTTCTTCGGCTAAGCAGCTCATTTCTTTCAACGGTCTTGTATGATCTTCTCGGCTGTCGACTGTGATTTGTTTCTGCTCTTTCGAACCCTTCGTGGACGATCCGGGTGACAACGGTTTCTTAGAAAGGGACATGTTTTCTGTACCTTGAGCTACATTTGGGGGATTTCCATTACATATTTCAAAATTGGTTGATTGTGTTTCTCTTTCTCAGTATGGTGCGGGTTCCTCTGGTTTCTTGTTTGGTGGGTGGTTTGGGTGGATAGGGCTTTATTTCTTAGTTAGTATCGGTCACGGTAGTTGATAGGAATGGATCATTGCCTTAAAGAATCTTTTTCCTTTGTATATCTCCTCTAACTCAACTGTATCAGAAGGGAAAAGTCTGTAGTGAGCCACCTTCCTATTTTGGAAGTGTTTCCTTATGTTGGACTAAGATATACTTATGCCTACATGCCCTAAATTAGGTACTTTCAGTGCAAATATACACGAGATGATGCAAATGTTCATTAGTAACCTGGATCTGTCTTATTTCCATATATCAATCTTCTTCCGAATCTCAGACACCTTGGCCTCTTCAGTCTCGGAGTATTCACCTAGATCCGCTTCATCGGAACCAAATGCATCACTAGCTGTCTCCTCAATTTGGTCTAGTGTAAGACCAATAAGCCCCACAGACCGTGCATTGCCAATCTGGCACATTTCTTCTCCAACCGCAGCTTCGATGACACCCTCTCCTCCTTTAGCGATGAGATCGTCCTCGAAGCTCCGGAATACTTGCCTAAGAGGGTTCAAGACATGGCTGCGGAAGAATTTAACGGTCTTCTCGAGATGAAGCCGTTCGCGTAGCGATGACGAGGAAAGCAGCAAGTAGTACAAATTCAATGCGGAATGAAGCGGTGGACCTTGAGTTTGGGTCAGGCGAGACCAGATAGCAACGAGATCGGATGCTGAGCTGGCGGCAGTGACCGGTTTGAAAAGAGCCGGGAAAAGAGCCCAGAAGTAGAGCGGATCTTGGAATATATTGTCGGAAGATTGGGCCGCGCTGGGGAGTAGTTCATCCTTCAGCCATGAGATGGCGCTATCTCGCGTCAAGGCAAGATGATCATCTTCCAAGATCTTGTGTATGAGGTTAAACCTTGTCTCAGCCGATGGATGGCTTTGGACAATGGTGGCTGGAATCTGGCGAACGATACCGTGGCTTTGGCGTGCTGTGCATGCAGTCAAGATGACAACCAAATCCTTGAACTGGGTATCGTTTGACGGCGTTTCGATGGGGTGTTGCAGAGAGTAGACGGTCAAAGCCAACAGTGAGTCGAGAAGCGCGTGTGGTTGACCAAATGCCACCTCGTCGAGATTGGTTTGGCCGCCGACAAAGTTGTTAAATATCTGAGCCAGCTCAGGGAAAGCGGATACCCGACGGGGCGGTTGCCCAGAAGAAAAAAGGGTTGTGCCTGCAGCCCTAGCCGCTAGTAGCAGGAGTGAACCATGGCGTTCTAGCGGAATCTGATTGGGGTTTGTTGGTGGGTCATCGAAATCAAGTTGGGCAGTTTGATCTGTCGGGGATCCGGATATGATTGACAGGAGTTCCTCGTTATCAATTCCAACGTCTCGTGATAAAGCCTTAACAAAAGCAAAATTAGATCAAACGTTCTCAGATGTTGGCATAGTGCCGTCCCTAATCTGGTGTCACTTACCAGAAGCTTTCCCATGATCATATCGCGTTCCTTGAGCTCCTTGGTCAATCCATATGCCTCAGTCTGCGATTGAGCGCCCGGTAGCCGCAGATCCGGATGCAGGTGTTCTTGCATCCGAATGGTCCACGACATTCCTGGATCCATTGGACCGGAGAAACTCAGGAGATATGACTTCAGCAGTTCAAGCAAGCCGAACTGTGTGAATTTCCGAACGAGGAGGATCTCGTTATCGGCAGACGGAGAGGGTGAAGATACCTCAGCTTCGGGGTCTGGAGCTGAGGCAGCGGCAACCCTCAGCACGCTCGACTCGCTAGCAGCTCTGGGAGGTGGCGCAGGCCGCTTGGAGGGAGACACTTCGCGGAAGAACTCAAGGAAGGCTAGGGTGGTCTCGTTGGTCGCCATTGTGGTGTATGCTTCTAGAGCTGCTTGGAGGGAGGTTGCAATGAAACGACTCGGGACTTTCGTCTGGATCCGTGTGTGAAGTACCGAGAGCATTCCGAGAAGGCAATTGAATTGTAGGATGTGTAGGGGTAGTCCCTGATCAGCCCTCTTGTCCTCGTCCTCATCCTCCGGCTGCAGTTGCATAAGAGACTCAGATACGCGCAAGATCACTTCTCGGGGATTACCTAGCCGAGCCACATCCTGTAGGCATTCCGTGGACGCTGGTAGCATGGGCAGGAGCAGCTTTACCAGATCCCAGCCGATGTTTGTCGTAAGCTTCTCATCTTGCAGGAGAGTGTGCAAAAGTGGCAAACGTTCAGGAGTTAACTGATATTCTAACAAAGTAAGATAGGTTAGGTAGTCCGTGGCCGGAGGCAATGCTTGAATGAGAGGGTCCTCCATGGTGTGGGTGTTGACTACTTGATGTCGCAGGCGCGGGGAAGATGAAACATGGCGATGACGTCAGTGGCAGAATCCCGAAGAAACACGGGCCGATCCCATCTCCGAAGTATACACCTTCAGGGATAATTGACCTATCAATATGAACACTTGAGTCTTCCTTCGCACCGTTAAATCCATGCACTCTGATGCGTAGTGTAATTGTCGATTTTTCCACTTCGGTAACAAAGTTGCGATCGTGCGTGGGTTTCTATCATTACAAGTGCGCTATCTTGACCCCCGCGTGACTATGGGTACCCTAACCCCTTTTGGGGCTTTCACAGAGGCTAGTGTGACTATGACTCTGTGTTTAAGACTAGCCTTTGCATGATGCATATAACCAGGGTCCTCTAAAGTGACTACGCCGACCAGGTCTTTATAGCTAATTACATTGTGAGGAATATCATAATAATTTCAGGCTACCTTTTATATATTTATATAGCCCGTGCACGACGTTAAGGTATAAGTCAATTTGTATTATCGTTCATAAAACAGCAGATTCATGGCAATCACAAAAGAACAATCTAGTATATCAAGAACAATCTGGCATGTGAATATCAAGCCTCGGCAGCCACCAATTCCAAGGCTTTGGACAACAGTGCAGAGATACTGGCCGCACCAAGAACATCAAATAGCGACACATCAACCTCGACAACCTTTGTAAACCATTTACGGAACTCCACGGCAACAATAGAATCCAAACCGTACGCGGAGAGCGGGTTGCTGGGCGTGATGGATTCGGTAGCAATTCCCAAGACGGCCGAAATCTTCTCGACAAAGGCTTCAGTCAGGATGGCGCTTCTCTCTTCAGCGTTAGGGATGGACCGAATATGCGCAGCCAGGTCCTTTACAACACCACCACCAGCAGCACTATCGCCAAAGTCGTAGTTACTATAGAGATTGCGGAAGAGTGGGCGTTGAGTCCAGAAGACATCCTGGGACATCTTGAGACCGGTGATGGTGCTCGTCTGGTCGATGCCGGGTGCAGATAGAGACTGTGATGAAGCAAGTTGGCCTTGAACCACCGCCTCTTCGATCTGATAGAGGAATTCCTGCTCGGTGACAGGATCAAAGCCCATTCGTTCCATGGTCTGTTGAAGAGCAGCATTTTGAGCGACGAGACCGATGCCGACGACCATACCAGCATCTATCGCTGTTCCGGCCAGACCGGCCTCGCGTCGATGGCGCATCAATGCATCCAAATAGGAATTGGCGGCCGCATAGTTGGCCAGACCCTTTCCACCAAAGACGGAAGACACCGACGAAAAACAAACAAAGTACTCAAGCTGGGTTGCATGGGTCGCACGGTGGAGGTTCAGAGCACCGCGAACCTTGGGCTTTAGACATTTCTGCCATTGGTCGAATGTCATTTTGTCGTAAGGAGAATCCTGTAGAACAACCGCCGCGTGGAAAACACCTGCTAAACGGCTGCCAATCTCATCGACACACGATTGGACTGCAGAGAGATCAGTGACATCGCCACGATAGACAGATGTCTGTACACCCCTCTTCTGCAACCAATCCAGGGTGAGTTGAGCTTCTGGATGATCCGCTCCTGAACGAGAAAGGAAGGCCAGGCTTCGCGCTCCACGGCGGAGCAGGAACTCGGCCAGCGTGCGCCCAAGTCCTCCCAGACCACCAACAAGCAAGTGAGTCTTGTTGGGATTGAACAGGGTGCTGTCGCGGTAAGTTGTGGGCAGGACCCGGACGACATCATCTTCAGTTGATTGCAAAACGACAGTGCCATGGAAGTCCGGGTCCTGAGCCATTTGGAATCCTTTGACCACATCAGAATAAGGCAATTCCACCGTGTTACCCAGCACACCAATCAACCCGGTCGTGGCCAGCTCCCAGCATTCTTTCATTACCTTGGCACCGTAGGCAGAGCGGCCCTCGAATAGGGAAACTGTGTTGACAGATGCCAGCATTATGTTCTTCCGGAACGCATCAGCCACGTTGATGTCTCTGAGAAGGTCGTTTGCTACTAAGTCCACAAATCGACCGCCTGGAGACAGACAGGAGAGTGTGGCGGCAATCGAATTGCCCGAGAGATCGTTGAGGACAACATCAACACCAGTCCCCTTGGTGGCGTCCAAGGCCTGCTGAGCAAAAGAGGTGTCAGTCGAGGAGAAGATGCGATTGGCATCTAGACTACAGGCCTCTTGCAAGAACCTTCTCTCGCTATCCGACCCAGCGGTGGCAAACACGGTCGCTCCTACACGACTGGCAACCTGGATGGCCATCCGACCTATCTGACCAGCAGCTGAATGAATCAGGACTGTTTCTCCTGCGCGAAGATGGGCAACCTGGTGAATAGCCTCGTATGCCGCAATAAGAGCTGCTGGAATTGCAGCCGCTGTCGACAATGCCATCTCATCTTTTAATCTGTAGGTCCATGAAACAGGGTTGCGCACAATAGTCCGGTGCGCGCCCTGACCGGGTCTAACTGCCACAACACGGTCTCCCGGTTGAACAAGAGTGGGATCGACATCTTTTCCGATGCGAAGCACGAGTCCCGCACAGACGTCACCCAGTTTGGATTCATCGGCGGCCCCTATGATG